GTCTAAATACTTTACTTGAAAGCCTAGTTTTTATCAAGCTGAGCCCAATAAATGCTTTTTCTTGTTCCTTTCCTTCCAGTTAAAAATATACCTCATTCGGTGTTTTCAAGCAATATACGTGGGCCTACTTGGCATGTTAGTAGTATTTGGTTTTTGGGGGGCATGAGACGAAGTCCTGATAAGATGAAAAAATTATTGTGGTCCCTTCAAGTTCGTCTTAAAGGGAGTCTACTGTAGTACTGTATTTACTCGCGTAATGATCGCACCCCTAAATTTTGTTGTCTAAATTAGACTTTTCTTTTTTCCCCGCGTAATGATCGCACCCTGAACTTGCCACATCGACATGTCATGTGCCAAGTCTAGCTGAACGCGCCTATCATTGTTTCTGTGATCTGAAAGCGGGCATCACTATGCTAATGCCGTAAATTTACTGATTTAAATGAAAGCATTCCTTATTTAGATAGAAGAAACTGTTTTCACGCGTATGATGAACTCACAACCTCCATAACTGACGCAAAGAAGAAAAATAAAGCGGTGGCTTCGCTCTGTCAGCCAGCCATGTTTGTTTTGACATCCCGCACTGTTACAGCGGCGGCCGCCTGTTGGTCGACCTGTGTTCAACCCGCAGCAATGTTTTTTCTTTTTTTTTTTTTTTCGAGAACACTTTTTTTTTGGTGTGCTTTGTGGTCGTCTGTTGAAGCACCGTTTCACCATGGGGCAGTATGCGAGCTTTACTGTCGCGTTCAAGCTGAAGGCGCTTGACTACAGCGCTAGAGCACGGCAACCGCGCTGCCGGCAGACATTGCGGCGTCGACGAAATCTGAATTCGATATTGGAAAAACAGCGCGACATGCTCATGGCTACTAACAGCACGCGATGGGCTTTCCGTGGACCCAAATTTGGCAAGTTCCCCGACATTAAAAAGGCAGTCCTCGAATACATGAAGGACATTGCAAGGACGGTTATGCAGTGTCATTAGACATGATACGGACGCAGGCATGCAGTTTCCCGGAGGCTGGGAATAGCCACAAAGGACTTCCGCGCCGGTTTCGGCTGGACGACACGCTTCATGGGGCGGAATGGAACTGTCGATGGAGTTTCCAACGCGCTCGACGGAATGGAAGATGACCCTCTGTGGGACAGTGAAGACACTGCCGGTTTCTACAGGGAATCGTGCAGGCGACGACACTGATGCCAGTGATGCTTCGGAGTTTGAATGAACGTTAGGGGGTCAGAGAGGTAAAAAATAAAAGGGCAGTGTGCCATCCATCTAGCTCCTGCGAAATGCGTGCATTTTATTACAAAGGTAGGCCTTAATTTACTTTTATTTTTGGTTATGTTCATGATAGCTACAGTTAGAATTCCGATTAGTGACTTTTTTGTGTTTCCGGTGCTCATAATATTTCTTCACAGAAAATTTACCCTGCGTAATGATCGCATCCCAAAGTTGGAGTCAATTTTATGAAGAAAAAAAAAGTGCGATCATTATGCGAGCATATATGGTACTTGATCTTTACACACTCCTTTTACAACACACCCAAAGCCTCTTCACTATGGAGGTCTGCTGTAATGAGGTTATATTGTACCACAAAAAGTGGGAAGACTCTGGAGAGAGTGCATTCCATAGCTGTGTAGATCACGATGGCGGCTTTATGTGTGTTTCTGCATGTTTTGATTTGCTGGGAAAGCACACTAGTAGGATTGCATTTAAGGGGAGATGCGGGTCGAAAAATCGCGTTTTTTGCGAAAATTTCCACTTTTGATATATTGCTTCTAAAATCACTTTTGATCATTCAACTATCATTTCCCCAAAGGTCATAGCTGAATTCAAACGAGAAAGTGGTAAAAAGTCGATCTGCGCTAGTGAAGGTAGCTGCCGAAGTCGCGAATTCACGCATCCGACGGCTATTTTTGAAAATCCGCCACTCGGCAACACGATGACGTCCGCCATCGGGGTTTGTTCGGTGGTGTAGATCAAGGCTCCTTCTAGTGTACAGGCGTCCCCCTAGTTTCGTATTTTAGTGAGGAATTTCACAAAACAGTCGTTTCCAAGTCGGTTTGCAGCCAAGCTGCAGCCGCTTCGCGCATCTCTACCGGTCACATGGTACGCTACCGAGGCCGCCATTGGCTACATCTGATCGGCCTCGCTCGCTGAGCGCTTGCGACGATCGGCACTTGCCGTGCGTTTCTACGTTTTTCCGAGTTCACCATGGATAACTCGAAGAAGCGAGACTTCCGAGCACGAAAGTTTGCAAGCAAGAACAAGTACCAAGGGCGTCGACGTAAACCGAAGCGCAAAGCAGCGGTAGAAGAATGCGAGCCGCGGGCCACTATGCCTAATCAAGGCAGCGGGGATACGGCGGCTTGCGGGAACTTTGACGAAATCGACGCCGCGATCAAGTTCATCAGCGCATCAGAAAAAAAGATTGAACAGTTCGAAAGCGAAAGAACGAAGAGTGTTTGTGGCTCTGTGAGCGGAGTATTTTGTGACATCGGCGCACTGACATCGATGGTAAGCCGTGCTGTTTGTCCAACATGCCACACCGCTGGACTCGTCGTTCGCGACACCGCAAGTAAACGTAAGGGCCTCTCTTCGTTCCTCGAGCTGCACTGTGATAACAGTGAGTGTCCTGAGTCAGTGGTTTCTGCCGCGCATAGTTCGCGGCGTGTTCTGCCGGAAAGACAGCCCACCGATGCCGGTGATGACTGGAGCTACCGAAGCGGCAGCTCGCGTGACAGCTTCGCTGTCAATGTGAAGGTAGTTGTGGCTGCGCGTGCAATAGGCATTGGGCATGAACAGCTGTCGCGTTTTTGCGCTATTCTTGGACTGCCAATACCTATGCATCATAAGACTTCTTTGCAATTGGCAAAAAAGTTCATGCTGCAGCTACCAAAGCTGTGCAAGAAAACCTGGCGAAAGCGCGGATGATAACTAAAGAGAAAGTGGATGGGGCTGATGTTGCTGTCATGTATGATGGCACATGGCAAAAAAAGAGGGCACAAGAGCCACAATGGCATCGGCACTGCTGTGTCTGTGGACACTGGTTTGTGCCTAGATTTTGAAGTGCTATCGAATTACTGCCTTGCCTGTAGCCGGCACCAGGACTTGGGTGATGAGGAAGAAATATGGCAAGCATTCCACACACCTGTCTGCGAAAAAAATACAGAGTGCTCCTCTCATGCCATGGAGACTGAGGCAGCTTTGCGCATATGGGGCAGGACATCCTCATACACAACACCATTGCGCTTCACCAAGTTCCTCAGTGATGGGGACAGCAAAGCTTATACCGCTGTCGCTGAGGCCAAGGTATATGGTGAAGCTGTTGTGGACAAGGAGGAGTGCACAAACCATGTGGCCAAGCGTCTAGGCACTGCACTTCGGAAACTGCCAACAAGACTTCCACGAGGGGAAAAGCTGACAGATGGCACAATTCAGAAGCTGCAGAACTATTACCGTATTGCAATCACAAACAACAGAGGTGATATTCTGAAAATGCATCGTGCCATCTGGGCCTCATATTTCCATTCATCATCGAGCAACACAGCAGGCAGCCACCGATACTGTCCAGAAGGGGCGACTTCCTGGTGCAAGCATAGGCGAGCTGAAGCGCTTGGGGAGGCCCCACCCGACCACACACCAATCTTGACCAAGGCTCAAGGATTGGCTGTGCTTCCCATTTACAAGCGGCTCACAGATGAAAAGTTGCTGGTGCGTTGTATCCAAGGGAAGACCCAAAACGCTGCAGAATCTTTGAACAGCAAAATCTGGTTGTTGTGTCCGAAGACTAAGTTTGCCTCCCGGACAACAGTGGAAACTGCAGCTGCTATGGCCGTGTTGTGGTTCAATAAAGGACATTCAAGCTTTGAACACGTGCTAGAGGAGCTTGGTGTAGTCCCACCGGATCAACTGATCACCCTGGGCCAATCCCGCGACCAGAGGAGAATCGAAAGAATGTCTGCGTGTGAAACAGCCGAGGCAAGGGCCCATCGGCGGAACGTGGCAAAGAAAGCGCGCCTTGATGACTCCCTTCTCAAGCGGCGAGAAGAATCCACATATGGAGCAGGACAATTTTAGGTGCTCTAGCTGTGTCCCTTCTATGATATCACCAAGTTTTGTGCAAATCGCACTGTGTAATCATGAGTAAACATATTTACAACTTTCAAATGCATTTTTCTCGATTTCCATTTTGAGGTAATTCTCTCATCTTGTGCACAATCTTTTTTAGGCATAAAATAGTCCTATCTTGATGAAATTTTGCACAGAGCTTAATCATCCCCTCTAGAATACAAGTATCTACTTTAGGTTGCATTATACATCACAGATTTTTTGTTACACAACTTGATACACTGATAGAGAGATGTAAAATATGCATTTAGTACTTTTAATTTTTTTTTTTTAATGTAGCAAATAAATTTTCTGTTTGAGGTACTTTTCTGTATTGTACTGCTCAAGTGCAGCAGAATGAGCCATTTTGCAATTCTGTGTGAAAATTTTTAGTAAGCTTTATTATGTGCACAAAAAACACTATATTTTGATATCAAAGTTGTAGTAACTCCGGAACTACTATAGCTATCAAACAAATAATTGCAGTTATGAAATCAGCACTGCAAGCTTTACTAACACCTAAAATTTCAAGGAGCTGGGTTATGAAATAAAAAAAAACCTTTTTCGAGTAGCATCTCCCCTTAATCGGCCGCTGCACACAAGGTATGCTTCACGTAGATCCAACTTTGTGTGCTTAGGATCTTCATAGCCATTTTTAAATAACACAGACATTCAAGCAAATTTACATGCAATTGCTGCTCGGATGAAAATATAATATGGGCTTTTACGTCCCGGAACCATATGATGTAATTATGGGGGCTGTCGTAGTGAAGGGCTCCAGAAATTTCGATTATCTCACATTCTTAAACATGCGCTGATATCGCACAGTACACTGGCCTCAACCATTAAGTGCGATACGAGTCGTGAACACTGTGTAGCGGCACTCCCTCTGTACCTGATGGGCGAGCTCTGCGAAGTGCTCAGGAAGCTCCCACAGATCTTCTTCACAGATGGGGAGGCTGTTTCCCTCATCAACGAAGCAGCACTCCACCTGTAAAAGATCAACAAGACACTTGCACCACACATGAGCTCAAGGTTTCCTGGACCAGGGCTTGGAAGGGACCAACAAAACCGAACAAGTGATTTAGTGGGTCATATTTAAAAAGGCATAAAAGAAAGCCACATAAACTATTGCTTTATTATACAGCCATCGTTGAATTCTAATGCAGACGCAGTTCTCATAGGTTCGTAATGAAAAACAATGTGCAGCAAATTTTACGATGCCAGAAAGGCAAAAACAAAAATGTACCATGTCTTAAGCTCCGACAGGAATAAGACAGTATGCAAAACCTCGCAGGAAGCTTACTGGTAAATTAAATTTAGAGCAAGCTTTTAAAAAAATTAATATTCTATACAAGATCTTGTTTTCCCACAATCATTGAAAATAAAGCTGTCCCTAGCAATGGGCAAACAGTTTCGCATAACATTGTAATGCAAAGGACTCTCAAAGCAACTGGTGTTATCAATTTATGAAGGTCAACGGGCCTCAATGAAATTCACCAAATATGCTGAATGTGACATAATTAGAGGCTTGAAAGATGCACAGAAAGTAGTGTACATATTAATTTACTAGATGAACACAAACCACTCACTCGGCTTACCACAGTTACAGGCTACATTTTGTGCGACTTCAACCAGCGTAAAACATGAATGAAATAATGGTATGCCAAAAAGCGTGTGCAAAAAGAATGGGTGCAAGATGAGTGCCATGTGGCAGCCTACCAGCAGTTTCTTCTATTTTCTTTTTTTCCAAAAGCTCTCTCTCACCTTGCCTTCCTCGGCGTTCCTGAGTGGCTCTACTCGCAGCCATCGACCGTGGTAACAGGTGGCGTACAGCTTGGCCACCTCAGGAGAATTGGCGACTTTCGTGGAAGATGCCCCACTCGTGAAGAATGCAGTCATCTCCTGAAGTAGTTTGGTGTACGCCTCCTGCAAAATTTATACCAAGGCATAGTACACTAGACTCTCGGTAAACTTAAAAGAACTGCCGCTGAAATGGCACTACCTCCTGCAAGATTGCTTTCTGTTGATCTCTCAGTAAACAGAACTCCTGTTAAATAGAACACATTTTCCCCATCCCTTCAGGTTCCATTTACCGAGAGTCTGCTATATCTAAAGATGTCGCATCAATGACTTTTTCAAAGTGCCACACTCGCATGCCCTGGCTTTAGAAACAATTTAGAAACTTTAAAAACAATGACCACTAGTTCGATTGTGTAAACGTTAACACCTGTTTACTTAAATATACGTGTGTACTTAGGCTTAGGCACCTAGGCTGCTTTAATAATTGCTTATATTTAAGCAATTATAAAAGCAGCCTAGGTGGTCACAACATTGTAATTCATCCAGGTTCCCACACTATCACTTCTGGCTCAAAAGACTTGGGGGCGTTTTTGAACTACACAGCAATACTCAATATCCCGCTTGCTTCCGTTGCCTTCCTAGAAAACTGTGTTCTCATCATTTTCTGATCAAAAATGCTTTGTTGTGCTGATAGCTGTACGACCATGACCGAGGTGTACCGGGTGCTTAGTAACGCGAAGCAAGTGTGCCAGATAGATGATTACTGATGTGCGATAGAAAGACGCTCCAAATTCGTCTTTTTGTTTACGGAGCCACAAATCCGTAAGGCGAGGGCACGTTTTGCCACATCGCGACCCCCTTCGGTGCACTGGCTGCCAACGTCAGTGAACTGACGTTGGGAAAAGAGCGAGATGGCAGCAACGGTGTAACATATTGCATTAGACATTGCCACGCAAGTGCGATGCACGTACGACAGATTTTCAAAGGTGCTGTGGGGAACGCAGCAGAACTACGCATTAATCCGTCCGTCACTTTACATGCGCCGCCGTTAGCAACGAAAAACTATGTGATGACGCCATTGTACGTTACCTGAAAAGCGCATTGTCTTTTCTATGCTTGCCATTGCATGAAAAAATGCTTCAGCTCATTTGCATGACTATCCGCTACCATGAAATCATTCCGGAACTATGAAGATAGTATACATGCTGAAGTAGCGGCACAGCTGACGGACGACTCATTAGGCTTCAATTTGTGCGCATACGTTTGTACAGAGATTTATTAGCGAGAACTGGCGTGGTTATACCTGAAACGCGTTGACATCGTACGTCAGGCTGAGCGCACCCTTAGCTAGTTGCATGCAGTACATCGCCTACTAAGCTCCCTTGGCTCTGTGCCCTATGTGAAGAGATATTTTTATTTTCTTCGTGCTCGCTCAAGCACAGGACCGAGCAAAGGTGAGAACACAATTTTGCCAGGCCGACAGGACGGCGGCAAGTTGCCTTCGTTTCCACAAGAGATACGCACTTGCAGTCCCACAGCAGAAGGACATGGCAGCGGACAGCGTAGTCGGTATGCTTACATGAACCATAACAGCGCTAAACCACTAAGCCACACTTTAGATTGATTGACATGTTTATTGTTGGTAGGTTTCTCCCGATGACGTGCCACTACATTAGTTGATAGCTATCATCACACTCCCGTGAATTTTCATGCAGGCATCCTCGTACTCACGCTGAAGTCGTAGTAATCACTGCATCATCTACTGAGGCTCTTATTGCAAATGCCTGAAATCACAAGTTCTTCCCAGTAACGTATGCGAACGAATATTCGTGAACATCGAATATTTGAGGAATGCTCGAGTTAGTTTGAATATCGAAATTTTCGAATATGTGGTTGTCGAATACAACACAAATATTACAAATGCAACATTCAATAAATAATCGAAACCTTTGAATATTTGCACACCCTTACCATTTTCCTATGAAGCAACCATAGATAAGGAGGACAGGCACGGGAGGGCAAAACCGAGCTTTTGAACAACACTTAAATTTTCAATTCTCACGGTGCCTCAATATTCACGCGAGATTTGCATTAAGTGATTTGTGCATGTGCAGCAAAAGCGTGCACTTAGTATTTGTTGCAAAAGTAGGCACTGCACAACTCACATGTTTGGTTATGGTAAATAGTAAGAATCACATCCATAAGCTTGCATCGAGCCTCACAAAAAATAAGTAGGTGGGACAATTATAAGAGTAAATTAGAATGTTTCACCAAATAACACAACCAGACTTGAACTGCTGTTTGAATGTAATAAAGCCTTTGGACAAGAAATGCAATTAATGCACTATAGTACAGTACACATCATGAAAGGACCAGTAAAACTTGTACTGTTTAGCAAGTGCGACATGAACAGGGGCACAGAACTGAAGTACAAAATTGACCATATTGACAGATATGTGGGGTTTAACGTCCCAAAACCACCATATGATTATGAGAGACGCTGTAGTAGAGGGATCAGGAAATTTTGACCACCTGGTATTCTTAAAGTGCAACCAAATCTGAGCACACTGGCCTACAACAGCTTCGCCTCCATCAAAAATGCAGCCGACGAGCCGACGTTGCCACCATCCTTGGCGCACTGTGTGCCATGCCCAGATGTACCCTTCCCCTCCGTCCAAACCAAAAACAAAAAAAAACTACTATTGCGTTGGCAGCGCCACGCTTTTAGTGTCACATATGGGGCCGTGCTGCATATAGAGGGCGCTTTACCAAATGGTTTCATTACTGCATGGTTTCACTGCACGCATACGGTGTGGCCCCAGATGACGTTCAGTCTTGATTTTTTATGAGGACATCCGGGTGATCACTACCAAAGTGATGTCAGATTGGGTGCTGATGGAAACTGTTTGAGACCACGGTGACGACGACGGATTTTTGGAGGTCTACACATCCTGCACTTCCGCCTGGCACTGCAACGCACAAATTCACGGGACCACAACTCACGGGACCAAACAAATTGTAATGTTCTATGAAGAAAGGCTGGCAGCTACCTCTTTTGGTTCCAATATTGCGGATCTCCTACAAAACGCTGGTGTAAGCAAGTACGGTCACCACTCCAGGGAGAAGTGCTCTTTTCACACAAACTCTTCGCGTTGAAAGAGCACCGATTCTTGCCGAAATAGCGCGCTTGCAAGCAATTGCTTGCCCGCGCCATTGAAATTTAAGTTCACTGTTGCTACTCGGGTGACAAGAAGTTATTGCTGCAGTCTCCTGAAGTTTGCCATATTGAGGCTTCTATGCATTCAACTTGTTGTCAACATATTACAATTATCTCTAACCTTCGACTTATACGCAAGAGTTAACTTGTGTTTCAACAGACCAGCACTGATAAAATGGCACCATAATTGAACAAAGTAACTACAACTGTCAAGTAGAGCCCACGGCAAGCATGACCTCTCCTGTCGCCCCTTAGCTTCCCACTACACTGCGGTGCATTTCGCGAGCTATACTCACTTCGTACTCGACAAATCTGAAGTACACCTTGGTAGTGGTTGCCACGCATGAGATGAACACATCCACATACTCGGAGATGATAGATGGTTCTCCCATGGAGCTGGTGGGTGAGCCTGTCGAGACATCGGAGCTGTGGCCATTCTTCTGCAATTCAGGAAAAACATTACACACTCGTCGTCTGCCTCAGAACCACTTAAAATATTATACAATGTGTAATACAAGATAACATACCATATAAAAATTCATTGCTTACCACGGGTTCCTGATCGGGTGCACACTTCGTTCTTGTGGATTTAGTCTTAGTGACACTAACAGGGTAAACTATGCACGGGTTTCCCCTGCCAAAAGAAGAGTCGCATGACAATGATTAGTTCTACTCTGGAGCACCTCCTGGAGCATCTCGTTTTTCCTAAAGACTTGGGCAAGTACAAGTCGTTCAGGCACATGTCTGCATAAATACTGTCACGAGGCGTCCTCGTCACCGGTATCCGCGGAAAACGAGGGTGCGAAAAACATACTTTATTATTGATGAGGTGAACTTGTGCCTCGTACAAAAGAGCAAGCCGAACCAGAGCAGCGGGTACACGCACAGCTGCTGCCAAGCAAAAAACAACCTGCAGCTTATGCCCGCCAGTTTTTAAGCACTGTGTAGTCACACAAGACATGCGCATACGTGTCATCACGTATTACCCTGTCTGATGCAATGGGCCCAAGTTTAAAGCTTATCTCAGCCGGCTGTAACCTACTTAAATGAAGTAACTACTGTCGTTTGACGGCTCCAGCTGCGAAGCCCAGCACAGCACGTGGCAATTCGAGAAACTTTTTTTTAGGCAGACAGTTCACATTCATATGCATGCATTTCACCTTCCTGGGTGACCTGTACAAGTGCCATCAAAACAGTAGGCCAGCATTTTCCCACAAAAAGGCTGCGAACTGGTAATGAGCTCTTTACCATTTCCAAACAAGGAGCACAACATGAACAGTAGAATATATGCCCTCAGTATTCAAAATCAAAAATGTAGAATGAATCTACTCAGAAGAAGCTTTGCTATACATTCAAACCTTAATATAACAAACATAAATATAATTATTTATCAGTTATAATGAAGTAATAAAGAATAGTATGGTCGTAAATACAGTGCCATGAACATACATTTATAACAAAGTTCTGGATGTAACAAAGTACTTTCATGGCAGACGTACCATGGTTACGAAATATGAGTGCACATCAATGGGCATATGAAACTTGCTGACCACACAGCCCGATGATCTCGTCGCCAGTTAAGAGGAGACACTGCTCTTAAAGAGGTTTTTATTTCTCTGTTGATTTTGATAAAACTTGGTGAGCTTATGTATATACAATATAACCTCATTACAATGAATCTGCTTACAACAGACTTTTGGATACAACATACTACCTATTGGCGTCGTTATGCCGACTACCCTATTTGTTCCACCGATTGAGCTTTATTTACTACGGATTCGGGTACAATGGCATTCGGATACACAGTAGACTCATTAAATGGAACCTGAAGAGACCAGTAAAATGTGTTCTGTTTAACAGGAGTTCCATTTACTAAGAGATGAGCAGGGCCACACAATGCCAGAACGAAAAAAAAAATGTTTCTTATCAGAAGCATTTTTTCCATTTAAGCAGCAGTTCCATTGATAAATTTCCATTTACTGAGTCTACTGTTATTGTTCGAGGTATAGCGCATCCAAGACGGGACAAAGAAGAAGACACAGAACACATACACGGCGCTAACTTTCAAACAACATGAATAACCAACAAGCCCGCCGTGCAACCTTAGTCGTCTACTGTAATTGACTACAATGTAAGGCCAGACAGGTGCTTAGGATTCCTATACAGCGAACTTTTCCACCGCGGACGTCCTAATTTAAATAAATTCCAACTCGCACATTGGCATACTTTTGGGACGGGAACGGTGTGCTGCGGATATCCACGTACAGATTAAAGAACGAAGGTCGCTGATTTGCAGTCGGTTGATGGTTAGTTATGCCTAACCAAGTCATCGAAAAATCTGCACACAGCATGTTCCGTTTTGCTCTTTGGGGCGCCGAAGCTTGAAATCACTAGCCGCTGCTCCGAGCGGTCACTGCGCACAAAACTTGGCCGGATGATCCGCCGTCGATGCACAATAAATATGCCCATCCACGATTTTGAGGAGCCAGCGAGCAATGCAATTCATTGCTTGCGACATAGCAGGCTTCATCGCTTTCGCATGTCCGCTAACGCAATGGTCTTGCCCACAAAGTTCGATGCAAAGCTAGGCCTAGCCATGACTTCGTGCGAAAATCTCAGTTTAGATGTGCGTGGCCACGGTGCCCAATATTTTAGAGTACGTCATGCTTGATTGCGAGCATAAAGAGCTGTCCTGCGGTCATTTCCGCCCCAAGGTCCGAGCGCTGATAGGCAGCGGGTGCAACGTGACACTATTACAGTGGGCCCGAGACGCCCATGTGCGATGGCTCGCGATGAGTTCGGCGCGCTATAATAGTCTGATAACTACACTTCTGTTTGCAGCTGCCTTAAGGGGGGACGCGGGTCTTAAAGAAGTAAAAAAGGGCCAAAAAATCGATTTTGAGAAAAACGCATTTTTCGAATCTTTGAACCTATAAGCACCTCTCCTCAAATTATTAACGCTAAATTCGATAAAAAAATAGGTTAAAATCTATTTTCAAACCATCACGGGAGTCGCAAAACAACCCGCAAAACAGAAATTTTGTTCGAACTTCCCGCGCGTGCCGCCAGCGAAGCAGCCGGCTGATCGGCGCCATCTTGGGCTTGTTTTGAAGCTGGTTCCTTTGTGCGCGTTTTGCGGGCTCTCAAAATGGCGTAGCTCCAACACAACGACTGCCCTGCCCCGTTTTGCGAAGCCGTCTGCCGGACCGCTGATTGGCTAGAGCGCGCGCGCCGGCGAGCCCCCTCGTCTCGCGCTTACCATTGGCTGGCGCGGCGGCGCGGCCACGGTTGCTCGCTCTTTTTTTTTGTTTGGTTTTGCTCCGTCGGCGCCTGCTCTCGTGCGTGTTATCTCGTCTGCTACCTGCTCGTGTACCGACGTCGCCGACGTATACGTCTTTCTGCATTTCGCCGGCATGGCTTGGGAAGCTCGCCTGAAGAAGAACACTCGTCAAGCTTTCGGCAGGAAACGAAAGCGAGCGTGGAATGCGCGGCAGAAGGGAGCGGCCTGCGCGCCGCCGAGAACGCCGGAGATGGCCGAGGCAGCGCATTCTGACGACAACTGGCTGTCGGAAATGCCTGTTATTGCGGAGGCAGCACATTCAGACGACGACTCGCTGGCGCAAGTGCCTGTAATTGCCAGAATCCTAGTGAGAGCTTACACGCTACAATTTGGCAACAAGTCCCCAAGACCACCCATGCCTCACTGCGCAGCGTAGAAAGAGCAGTGGCTGAAGCCATCAGCCACTTTAATCAGGGGGCCACGAAGAGCAATGAAGCAATTGCTGAGAAGCTAGGCTACAGTGCAGGAAATCTCTTCATGCGTCGTAGCCTTGAAAAGGATAAAACCAGGCTTCACAAATCGTGGAGGGAGCACCTGCAGAGCAGTTCAACAAAGGCAACACTTGCAAAGCGACATAAGCCTGCAAGAGACACTGCATACAGCCCTGGCATGCTGTAGAATTGTAAGGATGTCTAGGACAAAAATGTGTGTTTTACTTGAAATAGTGTTTTATGTATAAAAGGGCGATGTTTTTATATATAACATGTGTCTTCCTTTGGTTTTCAGTGCACTAGAACAGCCACAAAGTTGTAGACTGGGTTCCTGAAGTGATTCTTAAAAGAGAAAAGTGAGCCCCGTTATTGTCTGCTTCAGTGAGCGACACCGCCACAGTAGCTCACGAGGGATGGGGGTGAGGAGTGTGGGGATCTGAGGCGCGCCTGCGACCATTTCGCGAACATTCCGCCACACGGCCACACCCCTTCGCTTTCCTGCTCTGTTAACACCACGTGGCGATAGATGGCGCCACGTGCGGGCACAGCGCACCACTGCGCGCGCCGATAGAGCGGACTCTTCTCCGAGGACAGCGCCGGGTAAGCACGTGTTTTCCTTCGTCCACGTCCCTTTTGGGAATCGCGGACGGTAGCCTGCCCGGGGTGGCCTTGGGCACCCCGGCAGGCGTGTTTACTTGAGTGCTGGCTTCGGTAGCGTACGCTAAGCCCAGAGCGGTGCCTAGTGCTTGAAGTGGTTGTACCACAACGAGCCGCACTTGCGTTAGGCCTACGCGTACGAGGTTTGCCCTAACACTCGCGACCAGGCCCATTGGCCATCGTGAGAGTGCGCAGCATAGCCGCGAGGGACCTTTTCCCGACCGGCGTGTCAAAGCTCGCCATTGCCAGCTGCGACGTGCTCGCGGTTTTCCCCTTATTGTGAACGTCCGCGTGCGGGTGCCTTTGCTACCCGCGTCCCGGGAGCGGACGTTGTACTGTTGTTCGGGGTGCCGCCAGAGGCAATAAAGTGTTGTGTACTTTTACATTAGAACACTGTCTATTTGCCGCGCCGCGCTAAACGCCTTATCAGTTGAGTGCGCGCGGAGCGGTGCGCTACACGCGAGTGAACGGAGTAGCGGCCCTGTGGCTCGCTAAGCCTGAACCCGCGGTGATCGTCCGCTGCAGTAAGAGCGGGGGTCACTATACTGGCGCCCAACGCGGTATCAAAGGCTCATTAAGCCTTTGATTAGTCTTAGCCGAGTCGGCCTGCCTTTGCGAATCAGGCTCGCCGCGTTTACCCGCGTTATGTCTGCTCCGCGTGAGTTCTGTCCGCTGACGCTTTTAGCAGATACCGCATTGCTCGAGAACAGGGCCAGTGCCCCCCTTGAGCATCACAATCGCGCACCCTCACTTGTCACAAGCCCCAGTCGGGATGACACGAGGCGCTACGTATCAGCTCCCACTGGAGAGGTAGCGTGTTTTGGGTCCGGGGCCATAGCCCAACCCGAACAGTGCACAAGGGCAAATTTGACTACTACTGCTCCCTTTGGAATGCATGGCAGTTCCATGTCACAGCGCTCCGAAACGGCTCTCAGTGGAGCTTCCGGGGCGCAGATCGGCACCGCGGCCTCAGCCGTTGCCGAATTTTGCCCGCTGGCTGCTATGCAACCTAGCAGTTTGGTACCCAACGCCGTATCAAAGGCTCATTAAGCCTTTGGTTAGTCTTAGCGAGCCAGTTCGCCTGCGCGATTCAGGTTCGTCGCAACATGTCTGCTCCGTGGCATGCCGCGTTGCACAAAGAGGCCACCGCCTCTATCGACGGGCGCCCTTCGGCGCTCGCCTGTGTCGCACGTGGCGCCATCTATCGCCACGTGGTGTTAACAGAGCAGGAAAGCGAAAGGGTGTGGCCGTGTGGCGGAATGCCCGCGAAATGGTCGCAGGCGCGCCTCAGATCCCCACAGGAGGGATAAAAAGGATAGGAGTAAAGATGTTCCTTATACTGATTCAACGGCCAGTACACAGTTTTAAATGAGCTGTGGCAAATATTTTGGGAAGGTGCATTGACACATTTGGTACAGCCATACTCACATAATGTAGAGCTATACAACGGTGCCATTTTTATTGCTCTAGCTTCACTTTAGCAAAAGTTACAGTTATTAGAAACTTTAAATGCGTTTTTCTCAGTTCGATGTTTTTGTGCACCACACTAAACCTTAGGGGTTTTTCTTATATGTTACTGTTGATTGAGAATGACAAACTTGGTATCATTTTATTTGTAATAACATTACCTATGGGGTGATGCTATTTTGATTACTCTCGAAGCATACTGTTAATTACAATTATGGATAGTAATGAGCGAAAATTGAACAGAATATCCATTGTAAGTGCTGGTCTGTTTTCTTATCTATATAATGCCTAAAAATTAATAAAAATAGCATCACCCCATACAGCCCTCAGCATTGGGGCTATGCATTTATTTTTTGGATCTGGCTTGATTAAGTTGCCAAAAAGCCCCTAATGAAGTGCATAATTAATTAAATTACAGATGTTGATATCTTTTTATCCGCTGAAGCTATTTCAGAAACAATTACATATTTGAAATCAGCATGAAAAACTGTCCAAGATGGTGAGGTTTGGTCAAGATTGAGCCAAAAACAGAAAAAAAATTTTAAAGACCCATGTCCCCCCTTAACTACATTGTGTCCAGCGAAAACACAATGAGTGCAAGGATGTCAATAAGTAGAGCTGTTTTCAACGGTTGTGTCATTTAGGAGATATAACTTTTTTGAATATGCCTTTTTCTTCTGCGACTTCCGCAATAATATTTGCAACCTCGGCAGGCGGAAAAAATTTTTACAGCAATTCTGCATAGTTTTCAGTGACGATATTTTGGAATCAGATTTTTTTAAAAAGTGGGTGGGAGGGGCACAGAAACTAAGGGTGATGTTGAGAAAAAATTTTACGCCCCTGTTGAAATTAAATCCGTTCATGACTAGTGATTCTCTCTGCAATCAGATTTGATTCCACATTAATTTGATATGCTGATATACTTTGTAGCACTTAAATTAGACAAAAACTTGCTCCCCAGGAGGCACATAAAATAGTGTTTTAAAATTTACACCTTTTACAGGAAAAATAATTGCATATTTGAAATCGGCACACAAACATACGTACTCTCCAAGTTTTATGAAAATCAAGAAATAAAATTTTTTTAAGTGCCATATCCTCTCAAAACATCACCAATCAATCACTCGCTGCCATGTCTGATGCCAGCATACTGCGTTGAATTTTAAATGTTTAAGGCCTATTTTGTCCCGAAACAATAACCCTGATCATCTCTCACCGTTTCTCTTGAATGCTGCTGCATATCCGATACTTGCAGTTCATACAAAGCACTCGATTGGTTTATTATTGAAACGAAAGCAGGGGTTACACAGTTCACTAAAAAAAAATCTAGAGAAACATGCACAAAAATCTGTCAATCAGGCATGAATCAAATAATGTCTTGCAAAGCTAAGCAACTATCATGGGCTGGCTCACCACCACCAACACACACACACTCTAATCGCCTTTTATTACTCACTAGATTTCCATATTGTCAGCATCAAGCTATTCTACATAGCACATCACTGGTGCCTCTACAGCATTCCCTATCATCTGCGATACTTTCAAGGTGCTGTTAGTGCACATACATGAAAAAGTCATCTTTAAAACCCTGCTAATAGCTTGTTTCTTGTGGATGAGGAAATATGTGTCATAAGAGAGTTAAATCTAGATATGCGCAAGGCACACCCGCATCCACGAAACAGCATTGTGTAGCTCAGTGAAAGGCATACCTTTCTATATGAACGGCATTGGACTTTACAAGGTGCTCAAACCAGTTCCCTGGAAGCTGTTCCGAGTAAATCTCCTTGTACTGAGGCTCAAAACCTTCCTTGAGTATTCCGTGTGGTTTATCAAGCACAATCTAGAAAGAAGAAACAAGGCTTTTACAGGAACCGCTATGGAAGAGAAAAGAGACATTTGCAAATTCTGTGCCAAGATTGGGCAAAAACTTGCTCCCCAGGAGGCACACGAAATAGTGTTTTAAAAACTACATTTCCTACAAGAAAAATAATAGCATATTTGAAATCACCACACATATCTATGTACACTCTCCATTTCCTAGTTTCATCAAAATTGATCAAGAAATGAAACTTTTTTAAGGGGAGATGTTACTCGAAGACACTTTTTTTTCAATATTCACCCTAGAGCAATGAAACATGAGCTGTTTATAGAATATTTATGCTGATTTTAAATATATAATTATTTTTAGCAAGTTGCATACTTTTAGCTCTGCTACATGACAAAGTGAAAACATTAATAATTTTCCTGCCCTGTTTTCATCCCTAAACTTCTGCAATTTTTTACCATTCATACTTCATAATGTTTCAAATAAAGTGTAGAATGCAAATAACTAATTAGGAAGCACATACAAAATATGTAATAGGCATGAAAAATAATAGACATAAAAATTCCATATTTCCCCTACCCTAGTGAAGGTTTACATACAATTTTTCATTACACAATAAAATATTGAAATTTACAACTAGATAATTGTATTTGTCATACTTTGAAAAACATTTGGGCGAACTTTCATGCGGATCCGAGCACTAGAAGGCTCGAAAAAGAAGGGGCACATTGAAAAAAAAAAGGCAAAATTTGCATTCTGAAAAAAAAAAAACGAGTTTAAACTTAAAATTGAGTTTTTATTTATGAAAGATATCATTATTTCTTATGAAATTCACACATCAAAAAAGAACAATCCTTCTTTTAGTGGCCACTGCCCCTAAAATACACAAGCACCACGAGTTTATCCCTCTTGGCTTTTTCGAGCCGGCTCCTCACAGACATTTCGCTCACAGACAGAGCCATGAAACGCTTGCCAAACTTCCGCTCCATCTGGCAGAGCCTCGTGTCAACTGCAAGCTAGGAAGAAGTTTTACAGGACTGCGAAATCCAAACTAAGTCCAGTGTCATGCCATTTTGCAGCCATGTTTGTGCCACATACCGTCCTACATAATGGCAATGTCGTCCCCGCTAAGTTCCCTCACTGTGAGCTCCTTAGACCTCGCAAGATTGGCGCTGACGTCATCCGTTGCCACATCACGAACTTTCCGGCAGACGGGTGTGAATGACTTGATGCACTGGCTTTTACAAGCCAACAACTGCCGCAAATCGGACCAGCTGCTTGTAGCCTATTCCTACAGTGCATGCTGTACAACGGCTTTCACATGCGAGCAATGGCTTTTTTTCATTCATAACAGAGATAAGTATACACGAGAAAAGCATTGTTCAGCTGCTCAACAAGGCATGAACCCCGCAAATAGGCTCCACAGCACATATAGGCGCGCAGCGGCCAATGGGGGTCCCCGATCCGTACCACGTTATAAGCCAGTCTCGGCGCTCAAAATACGCACAGAAGTGTGCTTCTTTTATTATTTCTTGTGCTGCATCACTGAGGAAAACTGTTGTTATTTAAGGAGTGAGGCTCGACTCTTCGGCTCATGTGATTAACAATGGCGAGCGGCGGCGCATTATCGGCGGCAATGTGCTCGAAGACTGGGCCTTTTAACAGGCACCTTGTGCTCTTTAGATGCATTTTAAAGCGTTTCCAGTTAAGTCTCGACCTGCATTTTTTTTTTCATAACAGTAGAGGTACTAATTTTATCAAAACGGGCGAAAATTAAAATTCGGTAATTTTGAAGAAAACTCATTTTTCGACCCGCATCTTCCCCTTAGGTGCCATGTCCCCTCAAACAATTGCCAATCAATCACTCGCTGCCATGTCTGATGCCAGCATACAGCGTAAATTTTATATGTTTCAAGCCTATTTTGTCCCCAAAGAATAAGCCTGATCACCTCTCATTGTTTCTCTTGATTGCTGCACATCTGATACTTGCAGTTCATAGAAAGCATTCGGCTGGTTTATTATTGAAACGAAAGTAGGGGTTACACAGACTATAAAGAAACACATGCAAGGCTGATGACAATTACAATTTGGGGATGACATATGCCACAATGGACAACGAATTTATTAAGAATTCTCATGACAAGATTATCTACATGAAAATTTATTTAAGGCTCAGAATGTGTTGTGTGTTTCTCTGGACTGTAGCAGGAACCATCAAAAAGCATACATGTGTCCCAAGATGATATTGTAACACCAGACACTGCCGCAAATAAGCGTCCTTTAATATGTAATGAAACTACAATAAAACTCCAGACCACACAGACTGCACAGTGCATGCAGACTACCTAAGCAGCAAAACAATACTGACTGACTAAAACATGTGATGCCAGAAAAAACGAGACCGTTAGGTACGATTTCACATTTGCATTTGGTTCTGTCCACTGCACATAGCTTCTTGACACACTTGTTCACAAGTATTCAGCTTTTTTTATGCACCCTGCATGTACCATACATTTCACATACAGTAGACCCTCAGTGAACGGAAATCATTGAAACGGAATCGCTAATTAAATAAAACTACCTTTAACAATCGATTGGTTTCACTCTTGAACTCGGCACTTTTGTTCATCCCTCAGTAAATGGCACTCCTGTTACACAACATATTTTCCAGGCTACTTCAGGTTGCAATGAGAGCCTACTGTATATCACAAATGGAAGAGCCCCAAGAAATTCTTTGTCACTATGGCTCAGTTTTTTTTTTTTTTTCTACAGACATGTGCTGCTGCTGTGCTTAGTTGTAATTATCATCATGCTTAAACATTATGAGTGCTCCAGGCTTAAAACGCTGTCAGTGCATGTTTATAACAGCATTAGGAAGACTGTTTTGACCTATACTGAAAAAAATAAAAAGCCAGCTATCGCAGGGTGGAAGTTCGAAGTCTGAACAGCAGGAGTAGATTTTCCGTAAACAAATCTTAAATGGAACTGCTGCTTACACAGAACTGCTTCTTATATGATTGGCTTCACGCTTGTACTAAGCACACCAACTGATCGTTGGAACTCCTGTTAAATGGAACATTTGCCAGGTCCTACCAAGTTCCATTTCAAGAGGTCCTGCCACACTTTTACGACAGCCTTATTTAGCACCAGAATGTGTGTAGCAATGACTGATTAGACGAATGCAACAAGAATGATGAAAATCGATGCGTGAAAAGTGAAGTTAGGAATCCTCAAAGTTAAAAACTTCTACTGTATGCCTGCTGAAGTCACTGACAACAGCAGAAGTTTCGCACAAAAGCAAGACGATAAAAGCAAACCGTACACAAACATGTGCTGGCTATTTTCTGCTTGTCGACACCCTGTATGGGCAACGTGTTCATATTTATGGAATGATGCCTACTAGGCCAGGACCAGCTGTTCATTCTTTCTCTGCTTCTCGCTATGTCACAGCAACAACATTTTATCCAAGCCTCACAGTACCAATGACATGTCAACACTGTTGACAGGAGGGGGGGGGGAGTCATGGCTTGTGAAGACCAAGACATCACCTACAGCTATTTTTTTCTCCTGTAAAGCCCTACTGATGTCTCATAATACAGTCGAACATGGATATATCAAACTCGAAAGGGATCGCGAATTATTTGGATATATAAAAATTCTATATAAAAAAATAAAGGTAGGCTACAGGTAGGCCCCGAGAGCCTACCTGTCGCGGATCATTACCTACAATAGGCGCATTCAAGAATGACAACTACCGTAATTCCGCACACATGCCACAACAGAATGATTTATATGTGTGAAAGAAATCACTAATCTTGGCCTGCTTCGTCATTTTTTAAATGTTGAAGACGCTGTCCAAGGCCGTCTAGGTACAACAGCCCGGTTCCCTCTATGTGGCCAATACAACGGCGAATGATGCCAAATGCTGCCGCCACTTCAGCGGCGGAGTACGCGCGTGTACCCAGTGCCTCGTCCCGACGATCCTCAGCTGTCTGCCTGGACATTGCAGTTCGCTTCCACAAAGTCGTTCGCAGACACTTCGTGTGGAACTGCTGCCAGGAAGCGGGACGACAACTCGCGAAAGTCGTCATCTATGCACTCGTCGCCATCGTCATCACCGGTTTTCGCAAGTTCCACCGTCTCAAAGCCTGCCTTGCGGAAGCAGTTGACCACTGTGTCAGTCTTCACGTCTCACCAGGCATTGCAGACCTCTGCAAGAGAAAACTAACCTCTTGTTAGAGATTTCTAATCTCTTCGTCATCCTCTGCTGGATGTCCTGGCTGCTGACAGCTTCGCTTTCACCAGAATTGATATGCCAACGATGTTGTAGCGCTGCTTAAATCAGTGAAGCCAACCGCTGTAGTCGGCGAAGTTGTTTCACAGAGTGCCGCGGAAAACCATTAGGTCTTGGCGATCAGCATTGGGCCATCCACTGGAATGTTAATAGCGCCCACTTTTAAAAACTTGGCATACAATGCCTTTTCAACATTCCCGTGGGCAGAAGCAGGGACATGACAGGCTCCCGATGTTTGCTGCTCCCCTGCCTTTGCTGCTTTGTTTTTCAACAGAGTACTTAGAGTGCTCTGTCGTACCCCGAAGTCACTGGACGCTGCCAGTGCCAAAGCGCATTCCAACTAGCGCGCGGAGCCGCACTGCTGCAGAGGTCGCAAAAGGGGGTGGGAGTGCTGAAGCACACCTTCCAGCTCACGCAGCATTAGATATATCCGAAGGTGGGTAAAAATAACGCTCGATAAAAACGTGCGAATTTTGATACTTTTACTAAATAACTTCAAGGAAATAACTTACGAGTTCGATATATCCTAAAATTCAATATATGTGGGTTCTATATAACCGTGTCCGACTGTATTAGCATTTAATTTGCCGTTTAAATATGTGCAATGAGTACGATTTCAACGTCTTTTCTTTTTTTTAAGGTAGTCTTATTACAAACACTCAATTTCGATGACTTGCAGAATAACTGATTACGATTTCATTTGAAAACATTTTGCAGCAATGCATATATTGCATATTGCTGTCTCTAGCAATCTGTCAATTTGCACTCTCCTGAACGGTCTCATTCCTATTGTCTGCAGAAACACTACAGAGGCATTCTTGTGCATCATCCTGCAAGCCAGTTTCCCTACAAGAAATATTATAGCATATTTGAAACCAGTATAAAAAACTGAACAAGTCCACTCAGTTCGATAAGATTTGAACATTAAGTACAGTGAATACCTCCACACGCCATGTCCCTCTACCCCTTAAATTCCCATGTCACAGGTACAACACAATGGACACAAAAGTAGGCATGCTGGTTTTGCACAATAGATCTGCGACAGGGAATGGCAAAGATACGTGAAAGTTTTGGCTTATGCGTTTATACTGAAGCACTTTCTTTTTTTTTTCTATTTCGCACAGACCAGCAAGACTAGGCTTGGATTGCTTAGCTGTGCCGAAAAATGTGGTTAACAGTGGATATACTCATGTTTCCAGACAGGCAGGCACGTGAAGAATTGAAATTTCAAAGGTAGTCAACAATGTCGTTTGCTCGGAACACTTACGCTGGTCAAACGGCGCACCAAGACCGCTACTTCATCGGGTGTCGAGGCAGGAGTCACAGGAGTCACTGCTGCATGCAGCAAAAACAAACACTTGTTGAATGAAGCAAAACACTGACCCTGGGAATGTTAAAACACTGCTTTAATGTGACCAGTCAATGCTACATTAGACAGAGATTGATTGATTTGTGGGGTTTAACGTCCCAAAACCACCATATGATTATGAGAGACGCCGTAGTGGAGGGCTCCGGAAATTTTGACCACCTGGGGTTCTTTAACGTGCACCCAAATCTCAGCACACGGGCCTCGACATTAGACAGAGATGAAGACAACTAAGCAGGCAAGGGTAGTTGACGAGTGCTTTATTGTGAAGCTGGGATTTCGCTTAGGAAACTACAACAGTACATCAGCGCAGTGTCAATTTTAGCACTTTTTTTGTAGTAGCACTTCGCAGCGGCCACGGCAGCTACGCAGCTCCTGATGCTCAAATCAGTCAATGGCCATGTTTGAGAGCTGTTGAAATGGCACCTGTGGCATCATCCTTGTAGAGAAGAAAGTAAATTCTAGCCGACTACAATAATAATTGTCAATTCTCAGCGGCACGCAGCGCAATGTTTTGCAGACGGACCTCTTTAAAAGCAGTATTGTAACAGATGAGTTCAACAGTAATTTGGCCTAACTTCTTCGTAATGTCTTTGCTTGCATTTAGAAATCACAGAAATCGCTAGAAAAAAAAAACGTATGAAGTGGTTTAAGGCATAGAATATGTTGAAATAAGGTGCAGCAATTTTTTAAAAGCAATGAATGAAACCTGTACTGAATTTATAGCTTGTTATGTATAGGAAGTAGGCTTATGCAAGTGAATTTCAGGTTTGAGCAAACAGTGATATTGGTAGAATAATTTATAATCAAATAATATATATCACACATTAAAAAAACATACTTGTCAGGACCCAGCTAACTCACACAATATTTTTTTAATTGAAACAAGGTCTATGCAAATGCCATTATTTTTGGTTCAAATAAAGTGGAAACAACTTTTGTTAGTAGCAGGATTTGATTTTCCGTAGAATGTAAGTTTGCATTGATAAGCTGTAAAATAGGTTGCATTTAAATTTTTTTTTTTTTTTACACTTGGAACCAATAAGCCGACATCTTAGTAACTGGAGGGAGGGGGGGGGTACGGAGATCTGATCAAAAAGAGAAAGCTTTAGGCCTCACCTCATACATTACAACTTGTTCCTATAGTATTAATTGCATCACCCTTGCTGTACAAATGCGACTTTTTGAGCTGTGTACAGCCCCCCATCTTATTTAAAAACCTAAAAGTGACAGTTGATCGCCGAGTCGATAAGCGTGTATAACAGAGTACAGCAGCCAAATGAACAAGAATATGGGCATGCACTCAGTGAGATGTCCTGCACACCTGTCTTTGCTAGGCTGTATGAGAACCGGACACCTACGCCACCGCATCGGAGCACAGTTAGCGCCATCCTTTTTTCTTTTTTTTCTGAACCCTGCCATCAACTTGTATAAAGGATGCTTTACTGCATTCATGAATGGGATAGCAACAAATTGCAAATCTGGTAGCAAACTCTTTTAGATCCGATATCCCGCAGTTTCACAACGCTGGTGCAAGAAAATATGGCCGCACCAGGGAGAGATGATCTTTTCGCAGTCTCTTCGCATTGAGAGCGCAGCAGGAAGAGTTCACGAGCCATTCGTGCTGATGCCTGTAGTGACAGCGCACGTGCATAGTGATTGAAACCGCATCCAATATTCACAGCCTTGACGAAACACAAACTATAACTGTTTCGATGAAATGAAATAGACGATGTTTCTGCCATGTTTACAGGCACCGGGCTTGAGTCACCCTTCGTGGCTAAATTTGAGTGCTGCTGTGCACTACCCAGCGGATAAACGAGTTTGGTGCAACAAGGCTGGTTCCGCGCAGAATGGCACAAGTAAAAACATTGGCGCAGAATGGCAAAATGGCGTACTCATTCCACACGTGCTGTTTAAGTGTTTTCACAGCTTGGCACCCCTTCACGGCAATAAAACCATATTTTACAGTGGGCTACATGCGGACCAAGGAGGATTAGAAAAAATTGCTGGAGTGGGAGCTCCCACAATGCCTTGCCAGCAGAAATGAATTCAGCTTTTGCCACTGCCAAGATGTCAGAAACATGCTTTTTCTGATAGTGCCCACTTGTATGTTAGTGTAAATTTTACTTTAGTTCTATATTAAAAGAGTTGTTCCCGTCGAGTATGGGTGACTGCATTTCCCAAGAACTTTGTTTCCAATTAGAAGCTCACTGAGGAAACTTAGTAACACTAAGACTCACTTTGAGCACCATGTGACCCGAAAAAGTTTCCACATTACACTAGTTGGGCTAGCGAGGGAAACGCTCCATTCTTAATCCCTGAATGGCGATACTTTATCATGCCCCTAGTAAGATGGCCACTGTAGCCGCCATCTTGCCAGAGGCACGGCTTCACTCCAAGGCAATGATTTTCACTCCAGCGATTTCTTTTAATCCTCCTTGATACGGACTAATAAGCAGTTGGATGGGTCTTTTCGTGGATAGGCACTCCTCCAATGGAGTGAAACCATTTTTACAGAGGAATTACATGCGAACCCATATACATCAAATTTGTTCCTTTCGAATACTTCAAAATTTTCAACAATATAAATTTGAATAGAGTAATATTCGTTTGATTAAAAGCATTCGTGTGTGCATTCAAAGCATGTAAATATTTGCACAAGCCTAATAGGAAGCTTTATTTTCATTGCCTACCTTGTTGGTGAAGCCCAAGCTCCAAGACTGCCCGTGCTGCGGCCACCTCCTTGGCTTCGTCCTGGGTTGCTTTTTCCGTAGGGTATGATGGGAAGTTGCGTTGCCCAAGTCGCAGGGTGGCCAGCCAGGTCGGGGAGTCTTTATTGCGCTTGCTCCGGCTCTGCAAGGTGCTATAGCTATACGGGAGTCCCTCGCAGCGTGCATATGCGTGCACGAGCAAACAGTTGGGAGTCTGGGGGATGTCCTTGTCCTCCACGGTGAAATGCTCGCCCTTTACTGGTTTCTCGTACTCGTCCTCTTCAGATGATGCTACGTACAAATGAAGGAGTATAGAGAGAGAGAGAGGAGGGGGGGGGAAGTGGGAAGTAATGAACACTTCTTAACCATCGTCAGACACAATAAGGCAAGTCCAGGTTAATTTCGTTCAAACTTCTTTTACTCTTGAGCATACGAGCAAGCGGAAAAAATTTTACTTCTGAGGAACACTGCCAAAAATCTGGCAAAATTTAATTATTTTGGCCAACTAAATTTAATTAAATTTAATAAACAGCTGTTAACTACAATTTAGAACACAGGTAATGCATAAAAATTATTTACAACTTCATTGGAGGCCATTCAGCAGCATTGTCACACACACTGGGTAAAAAAAAACACGGAAAATTTTCATTTTATGTGGCGTAACGACAAGAAGTTGGTGTTTGGGAAATGCCATTTTAAAACCCGCCGTGAGTCACAGATGCCCAACATAGAGCACCATCTCGTTGACCTCTAAAGCAATGCCTTTCACAGGAAAATTCAAGATGAAAGTAAAAAAAAATATTTGCTTCGGAATTTACTGCACTTGCTAGAATGACCCCAGTTGGGGTCAGAGGCTATTCTAATCTATGCCATTTGCAATACTCGCTACGTTCATTATATAGCAGCTGTAATCAGTCCTTTTGCTTATTGGTGCAATAACCTTGATGCTGTACAATCTGCTGTAGAGACCACAGTCTCGAGTGGAAAGCTCTGCACATCCACACACGAGCTCCAACTTGTGGCTCACGCACGAGCTTAAACAAGTAGAGTCTGGCTACCACCACAAAACCAGCCTTTTTGACTCCCGAGACAGCCAGTACCTAATGCTCTACTTTCGCGTGGCACATTTAGCACCCACAGACTTTCTAATCTCTTACAAGTGTTCTCATTACAGTTAGCAAGGGAAAGAGGAGTGTGCCACTTACACTTCACAAACTCAAAATATGCTGAATCATGGAAAGTAGCACGACACATTCACCAATAAAAGTGACAAGCATGAAGGAGGGGTACACAATACAGGACAACACAAGATGCCAGGGTAGTTATGCTTGGGTTTCTTTTAGTGATGTTCCGTGCAGATAATTTCCCCTTTTTCGGAGAATTTGCGCCTGTCATTTTGAGACAAAGGGAAAAAGGAAACCTTTCTGATATTGCAGGGATGATTAAAAAAAATATCCTATGACGACTGATAATGAGCAATCAAAGGGCACCTTCATATGCTGTAATCGGTTCTGGTGCATGCACCACGCAAGCATAGCCTTTGAGATTTGTTTGATATTAGGCAGAAGCGATTTCCAGTTCACTAGGTGGTATTAGCCCACAATGTGCAGTGTACTAACACTATATAAATTGTTGAAGTCGTGTTTTTGTTGTGCGGCAGTGGACGGGCTAGTCATTATTTCAAAAGTCGGCAGTACGTCAGACATGTGTAATTAAAATGTGTGTGTGCGTGGAGGGGGGGCATAAAGTACTGTTGTGCAGAGAATTTCGCTGGTAGTTTCATCAACGTTTGCAGGAAAAAATTCCCAAAATAAGGAATTTTCATGTATCTGAATGGAAATTCTTCGGCGTAGTACAGAACATCACTGGTTCCTTGTTGTTCTCATTCGTGTCTTTTCTAGAGGCAGATTTATCATGCAGCAAGAACCAACTAGGACAGGAACAAGTTCTCTTGTACGGAAAGAGAGATCCTTGAGCAGTAGTTTTAAATTTTTGTAGATTTGAACACTGGAGAGACTGAAGACAAGAAAACAAGGAAACACAAGCACCAGCATTTGTGTTGTCCATTCAAGCTTTGGCCATGTCTGTACACTTTACCTTCGTTTATGAAAAAACCTAGGCTCGTGCAAAAAGAAAATTTCAGGTTTGAAGCGAATGGTAATTTGGTCCAGTAATTTCCCACTGAATTCAAACTGATAATACATCAATATTACTAAAAAAAAAATGAGCATGAACCTAACCTAACTACACAATATTTTTAAAAAATTCAAACAAGGCATACACAAATGTCATTCTTTTTGGTTTAAAAGAAAAGGAAGCAATTTTGAAAAGTAGTGCGAAGACTTCCAGTGGAGTGCAAGTGATAACCGGTAAGATATGTTAAGTTATAAAATTTCCTACATTCACAGCATATAAGCCCGTATAACAAGCGTAAGTTGGGCTTCGCAGCAGTGTGGATATTTCTCGGAAAAGTGTATTCACGAAACGGCAATCCTTTAGTGCAGTGAAACCACCTTTACAGAGGTACATGCATAATTTCCTTTTGTTTGTTTATTTGAAATACATCTGAAATTCAAATACATTAATATTTGTATGTAAACGCAAATTGGTAAAGTATTTGCACAAGCATACTCTTCTCTCTAATTGCTGTTTTTGTCAACTTTTTTTTTTCTTCTTTAAGCTTGTGCTAATTAAACCCCGTAATCTTCAAAGAAGGTTTGAAGCCTCTATACTAAGAAGTTGCAAGCAAGCCTTGCACATGGCCAGCACGGCATTATCACTCCAAGGTGACAAAATCGTGACAAAACTCTATGGCAGGACCCATTTAAAGTGAAGCTTTTTTTGTTTACTCACATCGAGGCTTGCTCAAGGGCCCTGATGGTGCGGGCACTAGTGTTTTCTGAACTGATGGGGTGGAGGAGTCAGAAAGCAGTAAGGGTGAAATATGCGCCAACAGGGTTGAGGTGGGCTCTTGAGACCGCAGTGAAATGCCGAGCTCTTTTGGAGCAGGCGAAGGCAGTGTGGGTGATGGCAATGTTTTACTTGGCAGCAAACTCGGCACTGCTGCTGCTGCTGCAACTGCCGCTGCCGCCGCATGTTCAGGCGATGGTATTGGGATCTCATCCAGGGAAATTGACTGCCTGAACGGGTCGAAACGGGGCTGGTCTGGTTTGACAGTGGGCTTCCGCTCGGTAAGCTTGCTTGGCCTTACAGAAGGAACTGTACCGATCGTGCTAACAGGCTTTTTTGGAATCTCTGATGATGTCATTGATGTTGTTGTACTGGACCCTTGTCTGTCAGCCCATCCGAGGCTTTTGGTGGCTGTCACTGTTGCCACTGGCTGAGCTGGTTCTGCAGAGACGGCTGGCAGCACTGCTTTGACACTAGAGCAGCCTCAGCGTCTCCTCCTGGAGACAAGAACATTATACATTACCACTATTGGACAATGCACAATGCAACAGAGTTGGTACAACCATCAACAAGCAAAAAATGAGTGGGGCAGACAAGAAGCAACCAGCAAAATGAGAGTCGCTGGACAAGAGTAAACACTGTCATGCTTATCCAAGTTTCGTAACACATTGATCTGTATTTCCAGGCGAAAAGCTGAGGGACACATTATCAATTTTGACACAGTTCAGATCTCCCTAGGCTGTCCCAGTTGACAATGTACATATAGACTTACTCCATGCTTGCAAACAACGGTAGGCACCGCAGATACATTTAGCCACTTGTAGCAATGTCGTAGCATGTACACCCCAGCCGATGCTCACGTAAACCCTCCGTGGTCAAGTGACAACTGATGCTGCAAAACCTGCCCTTTGAGCACAGCCCGTCGGCATGCCTCCAACGTTTACGAAGGGGGACCGCAACAGAGGAAATTGCCGTAACTTTAAGAAGGACTCCGAAATGAACATAACTTCAAATAATTTGAATCATGTGAGCTGTCTTCTTGAGATGTTGCAAAAAGATGGCTTTTGTAATTTCAATTGCCGGAAGATAGCTTGAAAAATAATTTTGTATACTTGACCACACTGTGCGCACGCGTTTCCGCGTGGATGAGTCCATTACTCTGAGGTGCCCGCATAAAAATTTGGTGCTGTAGGAAGAACTACATTAATGAACATGCTGCTTGACTCTTACAGAAGCTGTCAAAATGATTTCAGTTTCAACTGCAGCTCTGCTAGCCTTTCTGCACCATTTTTCCATTATGTCCAGTACAGTAGCTGCAGGGTTTGAAAGAGATGCTGTGCGTGGTGTGTGTCGAATGAATAATGATGCATCTTGTTCGCAAAAACATTGGCACTCTGTGGGCCAGTGGCAGCTGACAGAACACCACGATTCAACATTTTTGTAAAAGTTAAAATGCATTTGATATGGTATCTTGCGACGGCTACATCTCAGAATTTGCGCTGCCACAGTGTGCAGAAAAAAAAAAGCAAGATCTTTTGGCTGAAAGATACAACTACGCACGAGTTATCAGCGTGTTTTTAGCATTGCCAAAGCTGCATATACGCTTCACCACAGCAAATACACAAGCCCAATCAAGGTATAACTCATTATCGGGGACTTCGCACGCCTGGCCATTGGCAAATCTGGCAAACAGTGGCAATTGTTATTTCTCGTATGAATCTCATACGACTCATTTTTTATGAAGTGACAAAAGTGACAATTCACGTTACAAAGGTCTAAAGGAGCAAAGCATGCAAACACATTGTAGGCATCACGTGCAGCAATGCAACTGTGCCAGAGATTATGTAATACAGTGCGGTTACAACTCCGCACCTATGTTTCCATGCTTACGATAAAAATGTAGCATATTAATTTACTGTATTGCATACATTTTGACGTCAATAAAGGTGATGCCGATTTTGAAAGAAGTTGGCCACCGCACTTTGAGTGATAACGCTCCCCCCGCCTCGTCCGGAAGTGTACTGAACAACGCCATAACGTGATATGATCGCGGCTCACCGAATGGGGATATTAGTAGCCGATGGAGGAGCCAGGGAACAGCTTCTCTTTGCGATAGCATTTTATAAGAAGCCTGAGTGTTTCTCACTCAGGCTATAAGAAGCTGAGTGTTTCTGTCACCTGTGCTGCTGTGCTTTGCTCAACTGCCGTGCCTGTCATGAATGCCCTGGGCCCGAAGAATTGTCGGCGCTCGTTCATGGCAGCATTCAAACGGGCTGCTATCCTCCATGCCGAGGAAACGAACAATTAGCACCTATGACAGCTGCAGCAGCAGCAGCAGTGAGGATGACTGCAGCAATGATAGAAAAGACAGGCTTATGTTTGCACAGCCCCGTTCGCCGCCCTAGCTGAGAGAGGGCAAAGCTCCGGTCGCTTTGACACGCCGCAGTTTCCTAATTTTCCCACTGGGCCCACAAAAAACGTATTCTTTAGGGCTTTTATCTCGCATTTTGCATGCAATGGGCACCGCTCCTTATCATCCTAAAAAGCAAGCACACAATCCTGCTGCATTGTGAGCTGCTACAAAAGTTTCAGAATGTCGCAGAGCTGAAAACTGCCCGTGAAGTTCTACAGTTCTCAATGCAAGCAGTGCAAGGAGAAAAGTGTCAAGAGTGGATTATGGCAGTTTGTCAATACTTCCCGGTCTTGTCACTTAGACGGATTTTGTCTTGCACAGTATTAAAAACTACCGTATTTACTCGCGTAATGAGCATACTTTCACAATGAACACACCCCCAACTTCAGTCGTCAAAATTTAGTTTTGCCTAATGTAATAAACGCACCCCCCACCCCAATCCATACACTAAAGTCCAGCTAACCAACACCAGGCGAATTCCTTGCCCTTTGGATCTCTTCCATTTTCTTAATTATGCCGACCCACTCCGGCCCCCTCGGCTTGCTCCCCCCCTCCCCCATTCGCCCGCTGCAGCACGCCATATTGTTTTTCTTCTAACCTGTGCGCGGCACTTCCCTAGTGTTGAATTATCTGTGCGCCACACAGCGTTCACGAACGGTGCGAGTGTAGTGTAGAGACATCGCAGCTGACAAGCACACAGCGAGCGAAGGTCATGAAACTGCCCGGGCCAACCAACGACCGCTTCCAGCAAATACGAAACATTAAGTAAGGCCCAGCCACGTGCACATTATTTTTGGGCGATGACAGGATTTACTGTCCCCATGGCTGTCGTGAAAGACCAATCATTTCCATCGCGTCGCAGGCTTTTGAAAAACCTGAAAAAATATCGCTTTTCGCTCTGAAAAGATTGTGACTATTTCCGCAACATGGTAGCACCACCGATTCTAACTTGAGTTGCAATTTGCTCTTCATGCTTGCTATATGCGCGGACTTCAAGGAATGCAATATATAGGCGACATTTTCTACAGTAACTTCTCATGTGGGCAGCAAGACGGCAACTGTATTTTGTCGTTAATTTGTTATCGACGGTACATTTTGATGCTTCAGGTGGTAGCTTGCTAGCAATGCTGGTTACTTGCTAGAATGTCAATGGCGTCGTCATGGTCATTGTGCAAGGTTTCTGCGAAGTTTGCAAAGTGCGTCGTAGCGCACGCTTATTCTGGGCACCCCGAGACATCACAGCAGATACCACTGTTGCTGTTAAATAATTACAAGAAAAAATAACCGTGAAAACGCTTTTATCGCATGCGTGGGCGACGCAAATACAGCTTGCCATAGATAGTGCCATCAGAAGATAAGTGAAGTGCAACAAAGAAGCAGTTTCCGAAGAGTGTATGCGTACAGTAGAGCCCACATATAATGGTTCCACTTAAAAAAACTTTCACTTAAAACGAACAATATCCGCGTGCACCGCGAAAATATACATTGGTTCAATGGCACAAAATCGCACTTACAACGCACGTCTCCGAGTGCACTGATCGGTTACAGCGAACGGAGTCGGCGGTCTGCTGACTTTCCGGGAAACTAATTTCGACCACCGATCAAGCATCGACGAGGTGCCCATAAATTTTTATTGTTAAACGTCGGCCCTGCCTCCGCGCCCCTCTAGTTGCCGCTCTCCTCGAGCGCTTTGTTACGCACCCCTCTGCCCTTTGTCCCCTGCTACTCTGAGCACCCCGCATCGCCAGACGAGGCCCGTGTTTTCACACCACCACCGATCTTTCAAAGACCGGTCGGCCATCTACCCTGTTTTTGATCGCTGGTACTGTCGTTGGCGTCGCCGGCCTGGAGTGACCAGACCATTTGCAAACATCGTCGGCCACCGACTGTATCCGATAGTCTGCGCCTAGCGCACGCGCGTACGCTACCCCACCGATTCTGATAATTTGCTATTCGTTTCGTGTTTAGGACTTGCTCTCGCTCACTTCCGCGCACGTGCGCATGCCTTCCGCACAAGTGCACATGCCTTCCGCGCACGTGCGGAAGCGCGAAGACGGCTGTTAATTTGTGCGGAACGAATCGCGAAATATCGAAGTTCGTGAGGCCATGCAAACCCGCCAGCGCAACGAAACGATTTTTTTACCACGGCCGCCGATTCTTCGAACACCACTGCGCGCACCGATTCAGGCGGCCATGCACTCTTTGCAGGTTTTTCTACGTGCGAGTTTCACGGACCTTTCAAGCAAGCTACTCACGGCTACCCTTTCCTTTCTCCGTGAAGCTACCCATCCTGCCTCCTTCCCGTGTGTTTTGGTTTTCAAGGTCGCCCTCTCGCCGCATCCTCCCCTCTTTTTATCGCAACTCCTTGCCCTTCTCTCGCAAGTCTGCTCTCCTCTCTTGATCACAACCCCATCGCCCGTCTCCTCCGCTCCACGACGCCCGCCACGCTGGCTCGAATTAGTTTCGTTTTCTGACTGGAAACGGGCCCAGAGCTGTTCCACGCGTTCTGGCATGTGTGTAGGGTAGCCAACCGAGCCAAGCTTGGTTAACCTCCCTGCCTTTCCTCTCTATCTCTCTCTCTCTGGCATGTGTGTCATAGAAAGAAAGGGCTGTTCACCAGAGCAATGCACATAGCACTCACTCAAAGACATTGTGTTCGACTTGCTTGGTCCTTCAAATGCTGTCAATGAATCGCTCTCTGTTCTGGTGAGATTCAAATCATGACAACATTTGTACAATATTTTTAAACCTTCAGAAAAAGTCGCAGATGACACTGCACATGCAGGGCGACCAGACAACCGCGCGTGCAGGGCACGTGAACGAGCTGAGAGAGCGCAGGCAGAAGGCCGGTTTTTTGCTAGGAAGGCGGCAAAACGCACAGCGCACCCTGGGCGAGGTTGGGAAGCCTATGAGCAGTTTTCATGAATAAATTTCCTTTGTGTGAACTGCGCTCACAGTTCACAGAAAGGAAACTGTGTGACACTATTTTGGGGGGGCTGACGTACATTCGAATAGACTTAGAATTCTGTAAATAGAGTAGGTTTTTTTTTTTTATCTGAAGAATGTTCTTAGCTATTCTCATTTTGCACATCAAGCTTACTCTGGTAGGCAAGAAGAAAAAAACTCTGAAAAGAATTAAGCTTGTTTTGAGTTGAGAGCAGTTTTTAGAAGTACGAGTGATGCAGAGCTTGTACAAAAAATTGGCCCCGTATCTGCATGTTACACTGCAAATGTTGTCGAAAGACGATAGTCTTGCATCTGGAGAGAGTGAACAAAACGTTTATTTGATGTTCTGCACGGAGAAAATCGGTGAATGAAATTCTGGAGGTGCTGCGTTAGAGTGCCTTGAGCGTGGCAGCGAAGGAGAACAAGTGCATCAAGTCACGTCACACGTGAGACATGCGCTATCTGGCATTTATTTTGAAAACAAAGCGCGCGGCTCTGAAACGGGCGTGCGCGCCGTGTCGTCTTAGCAAAGCGCGTCATCTTAGCAAAGCGTTGGAAACCCTTGCCTTTTCGTGCAAGCGTTGCATGGTCAGCACAACGTGATAAACGCTACGGTCCTTAGAATTACTTATGTATGCCTTTTCTAGTAGGAGACACACATAGAATATTGACTTGTTGTTATGGTGCCTCAGATATGCGCAATAATTGCTTTTTAATTGACAATCGCACAAGTATGAACACTGAATCTTGAGCAATATTGGTGGGTGCTGCGGATGTGGTAGGCTGTTTGGAGTATCGTTCGGCCACTTTGGTGTCAGTCAGAGTACCGTTAAAGGTGGACACACAGACAAATGTACAGACAGACCAAAATTTTTGCGTCAAAGGTCCTCAAGAAAGACTATCGTGTTTAAAAAAGTGAAAAGTGGCCATAGTCTGAATACCTTTCTTTCACAAAGTAAGAATTTCAGGATAAAAACAAGGAGAGAGGGTGAAAAAAGGCACGAAGGGGTGATGTTCGAATCAAGAATAGAAGCCGGTACCATGACCAAAAAAAAACTATCCAGCCTGGGACATCATTTTGAGTCATCCGAGCACGACACCAAATTGACGGCACCTGTTTGACACTCTCACAAAGATGTACACACCTGCACTGCAAGCCTCACCGGCAGTTGTCTGTGATGTGGTCACTGACTGCTTCCTGCTGTCCACAGCATCAAATTCCCAGAAATTCAGCAGCACTTCTGGTCGAATGCTTGAAGCTGCCCATAGACCAGCTCTTGTCTAGCTTTTGCCAGCTACTGTTCTTGTCTTCTTCAGACTCCTTGAAAGTGATGATGGTTGATGGCTGCCGTGTTGCAACAGAGTTGGCAGCGGCAGTGGGCTCAGTCTTATTCCAGGCATCTCCAGCTTTGCTTGGACTACATCTGCCACTAGTAGAAGTTTGGGCAAGGCCTTTGTAACCTTGGAGGAGTCTGGCATGTTGACTGTGACTGGTGACTCGAGAAGGAACTTCGTGTAGTCTGCTGCATGGAGATGCAGACGACATTATATCAAACAGAAGGCTAGCAAGAACTACAAGATTTGAAATGAAGCAACACATTCCATTACAATAAAGCAAACCGGCAGACAACAGGCTAGGGATGAATCACTTCAATGCTCCAATGCTAGACAAATCACTTCTCGCTATCCTGATACAGTTCCTGCTAGATTTTTAAAAACATTTCTTCTATAGCTCAGCCCCGACACCCCTTGATATAGAGTGGAATAGCTATCAGCGTGGCCACTAATTCAAACTGTAGTTTTACAGACTTGCCTTCGAACATGACAAGAAAGCTGCAGCCCACTGCAGTGTATTTAAAAATACATTCGCACAGAACTATGAAAACAAGTCCACCCTCTATGAGACCAGAGTTACATAATGACCACTTCCTTCCAAAGTACTAAAAGGAAAGAGAGAATAACTCCAATTTGGCACCCCTCAACCACAAACGAATAAGGCTTATGTGCTGTGTACGCATGATTCCCATGATGACTCGGTAGTTGTAGCATTCTGTGGCTGGGCCTCCCATCACAAAACTTTCAACACAAAGAAGATGCATACAAGGGTCTAGAAGAACATTTTCCAAATGCTGAGCACAATGGCTCTAATAACTCGCAATAAGCTTATCACCACTAATTAACTGTCAATCAGCTTATCACCATAAGTTTGTCAGCGATGAGCCCTACACTTGCTTTTTGTGAAGGCATGTCTCCATGAAATTCCAGTGGTTGCCTACTAATTCATTTTGCCGGAGCCGTACCACTGCACAGCTGGCCTTGGCAACTGAAAAGCATAGTGCAGCGTCTGCCACAATGAAAGCAGTTTGCATGTCAAACTTTTGCATGTCAAACATAATGTCGTGCATTCCATTGCGCATGCTCAATGATGTTTATAGCCATTTCCAATGCTTGCCCATATGAGCATCACAGCAGTCATTACCCCGGGCCAACCATATTCTGCAACTAATGAGACAGAATATCTCCTGCCGCAAGGCTTGCTGTTAATCAACTCACATGTGTAGAGATTTTTTTTTTTTTTTGACAAAATGTGATCATTGATAGCGTGGCTGCATGTACAGTCAAGCAGGAAATTTACCGATCACGCAAACACGTGGCACCTTTTTGCAACATTTCCGCTTTTAAAGCAACAGACGGCAGTGCTATGCCATATCGCACCCAACCTTTAATCAATGGCCAGTCTTATTTTTCCACATGAGCACTGAGTATTTTCCACCTTTTACATATTAATGCGACGTGCCTTTCAGCAGTCCTGGCTATCTGTTTCAGTCTCGAGAGTAGTCTATCAGCTTACTTACAATTCGAAATCTTTCCTAAAGTGACGTGCACCTAATAACCCAGCATTCGAAGTATGCCGTAGAAGCCTCGATTCACCGTAGACATACAACACTCACGTCGCAGATAAGTGCTTGTGTGAAAACAACGAACCAACAGGTAGAGTGTGTGCTCTCTCCCTTATCTGCTTTCTTCCTTCATGGCTCAGCAGTACGCTACCAGAGCGAACTTGCGCACGGTAATAGAAAATTAATACACCAATGAACTATAAGACCTGTTTCCAGCCTAACGCAACGATCTACTGTAGATACAAACTGCTAAGTGGCAAAGAGGCAGTTTGGCATGCACTCATGTGATCCATAAACTTTTACAATTGATGATGTTTGGTGCTTTGTGGCTCAAGGGCCATGTGATGGCCAAAGAGCGCCAGTTCACGGGAGAAGAGATGTGGACAATGATTGTGATTAGCAGCTGTTTAAGGGCCTTAAAACTCTTCGCTCTAAGGCCGGTAAAAACATAGAAGTAATAAAACCATGACCATGTCATGAAAAGTGAGTGGTGTTAATGGATGACGAAAGTTTGTGATAATAAAAACCATGCTGGACATGTATGGCATTAGCACAAGTGCCTCGATAGTTCACACCCTTACGTCCAAGGCCGTGAGGCAAGTGCTTTGTTGAGTGTAGCCACCGCAGCAGAAACCTCTCTGAAGAGGTCGTGCTACGGAATGCCCGGGTATATGATATGAAAAGTACAGACTTATCTGAAAGAAGCTAACAACGATTTATGTGTGAAAATTGGTTCCCAACTGACGAACATTGCAGGATGAAGTGGTATCTGTTGTCGGTAGGGTAATGAAAAGTGTTGCTTTCTGAGCGTGTAATTCTTTCCACTAGATTAGAATGTTAAGTGCGGTGAGTGCTTCTACATAACTATCACACAAAGGTGGATCACCACCAGACACAAATGAATGTGTTGTGTGTGTATGTCCTGTTCTTAACCTTGTAAGCATTACTTCTGTGGGGCGTGATTTTGATTCACATAAAAACAGCGCCAATAACGAGGGAAAAGAAAAGAAGGAGACAAGAAGATTTACAAGAAGATTTATTTGCCAGAACAGCGCAATATACACTTGAGCAGTATCTGGCAAATATAAGAGGAATAACAAACCAAAGAAAACAGAATTCACCTATCAACCAAGTAATCATTGCGATAACGCGCCATGAACATCAAGTGTGCAAACGTTCTGAAGAAAATTGATTTGTTTTTGTGATAGAGCAATCGAAGGCCTGCTAACACATACACTGTCCAGCCTTTCCATTTCTGCAGTCTCATAAATTTCGCGTATCTGATCCCGATGATGCCTAATGGAGGTACAATGCTGAAAGTCGGGGACACAACCGCAGTCTCTGCAATGAATGCCGAGGTGGCCAGATACTGTAGAAGAGACGTTGTGAGCGTGCTTTTTCAGCAGGACAGGGGTACAGAGTACACCACTCCATCAATGCATGAAACATACTTGTTCCGATGCTTGATTTTGCAGCTTCTCTCTCCCCTGGAACCAGGATTCACGGCCTTTCATATCCTAGCCAGCTTTTCTGGGAAAGAAAAAAGCAGGTCTACGTCGCACCTGCTGGCCACTTTTTTGAGGTTGTGGGTGACGCCGTGGATATAGGGAAAAACGACAGTGTTTCGTTGTCCCTTCCCTTATCCTTTGTACAGGTTCGAGCACTAGTCTCTGGGCTCATTTTGATTTCTCGGAGTAGACACTCAGCAACGGTGGTCAAAACGTACATTGGGAAGCCAGCCTCAGTGAGGCACTGATTTTGCCGATTAAAGCTGGACCGAATCACGAGATTGCAAGACCATCGCAGAGGGTTTGTGTGTGAAGACATGCTACATCTGTATATCTTATTGTGTATGTGTATAAATTATTGCCTTCTGTAGTATCGGCCGCAAGTATCGCATAAGGTTCGCCGGTGAAAATGCTTGTATCAGAGAGCAGGACGCCGGCTTCCGAAAAGGATGGGCCGATGGCTGCGTACGAGACAGAAGTGTTGGACTTTGAAGCATCCGTAAAGAACTCAGGACATGTGTATTTCTGTTGTAGTTCTGGGAAGTATGTTTGAATATGTGAAATTAGTGCTTGCTTCGTAACCTTTAAGAAAGGCACACCGCAATCTATCGCCTGCCACTGCCATGGTGGCAGGCATAAGTGGTGCACAACTAGCACCACTTACTAGTAGCTGAGCCAACACCTGGCTAAGCACACATGTAAAGCCGCGATATTGATCTTCGAGGCGAGCAGTTTGTAATTTCGAGTCGCGCTCTGAATATTCTGTGCGTGGTGTAGATCAAGGCACCAAACAAGCGGTATCATTATAGTGCCACTTATAAAAGGAAAGTTGTCCTAGATGCAGAGTCGTCGCGTAACGTTCCAGACGGGCAAGACTTTAGAGTGGACAAAAAATTGCATCTCTGGAGGGGCTACAGCGCGAGACACCATCGCAGGAACTTTGTGCGCTCTTTCAAGAAGTGCGGCATATCCAATGTGCCTGATGGCACCAAAGATCGTGCACTGTTTGAAGACAGCAATGACAACTTAGAATGAGCGCAGCGTCGGCAAGCGCGGCATCTTTATGATGCAATTAACTCGAAGCAGTGCGAAAAAAAAAAACGACAAAAAATGCACACAATAGGACTAGCGGCTTTACGTTTTTTTAGTTAAATTCATCACTAACCAACTGCTTTGTTTTATCTTCATGTCAAATAATTTTTTTTTTTGTGAACGCTGTTGCTGTTTCGTTCAGCCTATATTCAAGGTAAGTCTTTCCAAAAGTTTCAACAAAATTGTTCCAGAATTCCGATGAAGTTTTTAGTTAGCAGTGTCTCCATTAATACCGACTCCATGTCTGCTCTAGTTTACTCAGTGGCAGACACGAGTTTTTAGCTATATTACATGCTTCAGCCACCACGCAACAACAATTTACGTAAATAACAATGCACGTGAACACATCAGTATTGCTAATCTTTTTGAATGTCCACTAAGACTGAACTAGGACTAAGACGAGCGCACACATTGTGCAAAACAAAATAACATATACAAAAAGCAGGACGAATACCAAAAGAAGGTAACGAATGAAGTGCTTCAACGTACGGGCATAAAGTATATTGGAGGGATCGGTGAACGCAATACGTAGAGTGGCACAAAAATCAACCGACGAGGCGCACAGGGCCAGTGATGAGCGTAGTCGAGCATGCCCTGCAAAGCGCCGATAATGTCACACGATGCACCTTTGAATTTGATCAAGCATGGTCCGAATGGAACATCCCCCCACAGTAAAATGGCTCCTTTGCAAATTTTAAGTGCAAAGGAGCCAATCGCGGTCGAGAAACTCAACACTGGTACAGCGACTGGGCATAGGCTGGCCAGCACAGAAGATAATGTATTACTTGCGCAAGATACTACAGATCAAGCATGTGCCAAACATGCCAGCATCGAAAGGCGACACAATTCTTAGCCAGAGTTCACCATAAAAGCCCGCGTATAGCCCGTTATTTTTTTAAACTTTAAGGTACGAAATTTCGGCCCTATACTATATGCAGGTCCCAAAAATTTTGGCCAAAATTCAGTTTTGGTTTTGACATAGCGCAGTGCTATCATCTTCAGGTTTTTGAGTGCTTTTGCGCTACGTGCCAGGTAGTGTTAGCAGCCGTAGCACGTCTTGGTCTTACAGACCCACGCGTGCAACAGTGGTCAGTGGCCTTAGCTTCAACTTAGTACGCAACGACGGGCATGATTTTGCTCCTGTGATTTTACGCCATGTCAGTACCGCGCAGGCAGTACTCGGCTGCTTTTAAAAGGAAAATTATCGCTCCTGCCGAAACCATTGGCAACTGAGATGCGGAGCAACAGTTCAAAGTCAACGAGTGGAGTATTCGCGATTGACAAACGCAAAAGGACGCCCCTTTGCTTGCAGCAGCCAGCAAAATCGGCATAAGCCGTTCTCAGAGAAGCTACCAAAGAGCTACGAAGAGGACCTTGTGACGTTTCAAAAGTATGTAATTGCATTGCGAAAGGCTGTCCATTATCAGCTGGGCCAGATTGGCAATGAGGATCAAACGCCGGTCTACCTCGATATGCCCTCAACGCTGACGGTGCATCAGAAAGGCTCCAGGCAAGTTATCGCGCAATCGACTAGGAAAGAGAAAACACGGGTGACTAACGTTGTCCTGCACTGCAGATGGTCGCAAGCTACCACCCTACATTCCCAAAAAATGTCGTCGTCCGCTGCCAGGACATGGGGTGGATGGAGAAATCACTAGTGCTTGACTGGATAAAGTTTGTGTGGTGTCGACAACCCGGAGCACTGCTGGGGCTCCCTTCGATGCTTGTGCTCCCTTCGATGCTTGTGCTCGACGAGTTTCACTGTCACCCGACAGACTCGGTAAAGCGATTGCGCTGCACGACTCCCACACCGAGCTCGTCTGAGATGACATCACAGCTGCAGCCTCTTGATATGTGCCTTAATAAGCCATTTAAAGACCATGTCAAGCGCTTGTACGTGGAGTGGATTATGTCCGCAGAACCACAAGTGGCCCCTGCCGGATGGCTGAAATGGGCCTCGCCAGCGATGCTGTGCTCGCGGATAGTCGAGGCTTGAGCCTGCATTCCCGAGGCGCTCGTTTGCCGTGCGCCTCGGTGTGTTACATCTCGAATGTGCTTGATGGCACTGAGGATGATGTGCTGTGGGAAAACATTTGCGACAAGAGAGCTCGTGTTCGACGACAATGATGAATGACGTGTGTCAATGCATTTTTCCGTTTTACTCGGGCTATATTCGGGTGAAAACTTTTTTTCTCGCGTTTGCCATCCCCAAATAACACCCCGAACTACATGCAGGTCTGAGCTATATGCGGGCTTTTACGGTAAGTACTTTGTCACAATCATGGATACCAAGGAGTGCAGCACTATCCGGTGAAGTATCGCAAAAGTGACACATACCAACAAAATGACCTGCCACTTGAAAACTCGGTGAAGTACAGACCCACAAGCTACACATCTACATAGCTTGGATGAGTCCTCTAGACCAGTCACTAGCGCGAAAACTGGCGGAGGTTCCAGCACTTGCAACAGCACAGGCGCTAGTGCTTGCAGCTAGCTTGGAGAGCTTTTTGATACCCTTGTCCAATGAATTGCTTTCATTGGAGAAGGGCATCAATTAATGCGTACACTACATGCAAAGCTGCTGTCAGAACTTTTTGGAAATCAGCTCAGCTCTTCATAGATGAATTAGTAAGCTTATCAAATGACTAGCAATGCTTATGAGCTGAAATCTGTACCTAGGCTAAAAAAATCTAAAAAAGGCAGGATTCGGGAAAGGTGGAAGCATAAAGAGATGGAAAATTTGTTAACAGGGTGTGTTTAGGAGCTGACATTTTGAACATTTTGAAGACAAGTCTGCTTATTGAAACTTCAGTTCCAGCACACCCCCTATTCAGGCATATTACACATATTTGGCTGAAGGAAGGGTCGCAGCAAGTCTAGCCAACTATAAGAGCTTGCAGCATTAAAGCACAGTATTTCTACGTTGTGAAATACTGTCTGTTCGGGATTACTGTTAAACTGTTCCTATGGTGAACATTATCCTCGTCTTGAGCACAAGGTTGATACCTCCACTCAATGTATTCTTTGGCAAATTCTATCTGTGTAGTCCCGGCATCTAACTTGCTTTGAGATGCAATGCCCTCAAAGATTTTTATTTTTTCTTTTGTCCATAGAGGGTCAAGATATGAAAATAGTAGAGCCCACTTATAACGATAATGGTTTAAACAAAAATATCAGTTGAAAGAATGAGAAGCTGCTGCACAGTCATCTACTGCATGCTTTCTACGGTGAAATGACCTGCTTACATCAATGCCCGCATGCCGCATTCTCGGTTATAAGAAGTTCTGGCTACTGGGTATCCGTGCCAAAAGATAATGTAACAAATCTGTGAAAAGAAAGACTAAAGCAAGAAATTCAAGCTGCTAAAACCACATCCACAATTTCAATATCCCTACGTCCCACTAGACTCGCAATATGCTTCACTGCATGGTGTGTTGGCATTGCAGCAAAGCTTATTTTTGAATTCACTACAGCACGGGAGCAGCATTGGTTTCTGTTAATGCACTTTTGGAGATGCAATTTGAGTAAAAAGTTGACACTGGGTAGAGTTTCAGCGTCCAAAGGTTCAGGCGTTGTCATACTTTGCTCTGTAGGGCTTGTGGCAGTCCCACGAAAGAGTGCGAATCTTCAAGCACTTCTGAAAAACCGGCACCTTCGTGATCCTCATTACCGATTTAGTTGGCACAACCTGCCGCCACTTATTTTGCATTTTTTATTTGGGTGTGTGCAACCCGTCTATAGTAATTATCGGTTATAATCAAAATTTTTGAGGCACTCGAGTTATGTTATAAGTGGGTTCAACTGTAGTCTTTTCTCCACAATCAATCACTCTTCTCCGTATTGGGCCATTACATGTACAGTAGAACCTCGCTGATATGCTCCTGCTTTATACGTTTTCCAGGCTGTTACACTGACAATCGCAAAAACAAAAATAACCCTATTTGGAAAGTATTCTTCCAATCATATAGTTTACCAGATTGTACATTTATTTTGTGTTGTTTTCGCAATCGTATCAACGATGTTCTACTGTAAATGCCTGTAGCACTATCTAATGATGCAGTAAGTATGCTCTACATACCTTAGCAAACATTCCAATTCATTCAGTTTCCATTTAATGCTTCATTAGAAAAGGAAGAAGCAAGTGAACGTGGTGATCATGTTAAGTTGTCGAGCAGCAGTCACTCGTTACTGTGGATAATAAGGGTTTTCCCTTGACTCCTTTCAAAAAAATCTTACAACATCAAACAATCAAAAAAAGACCTCGTAGAAGATCGCCGAAAAACAAAAGCTTACATGTACATCGGCAACTTACCCCACCGATTGTGTGCCCCAGCAGAGTCACCACAAAAATGTGCACAACTGCTCCGCAAGTAGCAACTCGAGCGTATTCAACTTTCAACCACATATGCCCATATGCCCATAACGTACTGCCCATCAAGCCCAAAAGATGGCCATGATCAATCTCGCATCCACACGCATCAGTCCGCTCCCTTCCCTGGCTGCGCTGTCTGCTGCTTTTTGTATTCGCATTTTCATGGCTTTCCTTCTCCGGCTATCATATTTCGCAGCTCGCGAACTCTAATTCCTTTGTTGTTGAGAGTCTCACTTTGAGTGTGTCTGGTTCCTATCCTCCCTCCCACATGCTGTAAACAGATTCCACAAGTCCACCAGCAGCCATTCCCATGGGTATGCAAATCAAGTTGCTCTTTCTGTGATTTGAAGCAGATACAAGGAAAACTATAAGAAGTATGACAAGGGTTCAGAAGCTATGCACATTATGGCTCTCATTCTTTTTTAACCTGCATTAGCTTTATTATGGTGAAACCCTCATACTAGAAATTTGAGAATATTCAAAACCTAGAATATTTCATTTCAATAGTTCAGTATTCCATTTGACCAAAAAGGCATTCAAACTGTTCAAAATATTAAAACCTTACAAATCTTGATAGGCAGTACTAAACTCACCACAAGGAATTGCATACCTTTGCTAAATTTCACACCATTTGGCACAGTCAAAAAATAATGTGTTTTGCCTTTTCAGGCAAAACAAGACATTTTTTTCTTTCTTTAGTATATTACTTTGAACAAGCTTCCGCCGTTTTAGGCAGACAATCTTTTGCACTGTCCTTTCTATACCTAATGTCACTGACAGTGAAATGTTCTGTATAATCCCGCTTCTCAGCTCTTCATTGCTGATGCATCCAATAAAAAGAAAAAATTCTGGAGCAGTCCAGTCAATACACAATCTTTTGCACTGTCCTTTCTATACCTAATGTCACTGACAGTGAAATGTTCTGTATAATCCCGCTTCTCAGCTCTTCATTGCTGATGCATCCAATAAAAAGAAAAAATTCTGGAGCAGTCCAGTCAATACACAATGGTTCACAGAACTGCGACATTACAAAACGTAAAGCAGTGAGCATTTGACACCTGAGCTTGCATCAACTGAGTCCTCTTTGAAACATTACCCTGAGTACTGATCTCCACTGAACACGTCAACATAAAACCTAACATATTTACTCGCTTAATGAACCCACTCGCGTAATAAACCAAGCAAGTTTGGAGAAACGCAATCAACTAGGGGGGGGTGGCGGTATCGCGATAGCAATTGTATGAACACTGTCAGCAGAAATTTGTGGTTGCCGCTGATCTGTACAGAGTCCAAACCGATAACATCACTCACACATCAACTGTTTTACGAGTAAAAGCGCCCTAGCGCTAGGAACCAACTCGGGCTGAAGCAGAGATGAAACGACCCAGCGGTCACCTTCGCGCGAAGGGCTCCATGTCGCTCCAAGTGCATCGCTCCATGTATGAGGCCATCATCGCTGCAACATTGCTCCATGTGCAGGGCCTGTCGTCGCTTACTTACGAGTTACTTTGTCGGGCAAGGGACCATAGTACAGTCTTGCCGACCACTCGCCTTTCCCTAGCTCGACCTTCTCCGCTCATAGCCAGAGAAAACAGGCAGTGTATGGCACTGTTTTTGGCAACCCTTGCGGTTGAGTAAAAAAAACTGAAGCCCTCAATAAGGGGGTTGGGGATAAAAGAGACAGTGAGGAGAAAACGGTCCGAATATAAAAAGAGAAAAAAATTTTTTCAAGAAGTTTAGACTTGCGAATGGGAGAAGCGGCTGGTTAATAGTGGCGGGCGGCTTAAAAAAGCCCTGCCATTAGGATCGAGGAACCCTTGCGAAAGCAGAGCTCAGCTTAGCTCCCTGAGGGAGAGGGGAAAGGGGTTGCATAATGGAAAGGTACAGAAAGTGCTTGGTAAGGTTCACATAAAAAACAGCGCCAATAACGAGGGACAAGAAAAGAAGAGGCAGACAGCGGCCTTCTTTTCTTGTCCCTCGTTATTGGAGCAGTTTACGTGAATCATGTCCTATCAACTCGCCCAAGCAATTACGTTAGCCTGGTGAGGTCTGAGCATGCATGCTCAGTTTTCCTTCTGGGTACAGGTGGGGGAGAGTGAAGGTCCGTTGCAGCGTCAGCCCCTCGCCCCTCTTCGTCCACCCGAGTTGCCGCGCCACTCCCTATTATGTCAATGTAAAGGGTTGACTAAGTGCTCCCCCCCCCCCCCCCAACTCCAAAGGTTAACAGCAGCACACCCACCGCTGGCTGCAATAAAACAGCCACTAAACGCGCCGCGCATTCCAGGAGCGCTCGCCACGTCAAGCAAGTGCTCTTGCCGGAGGCGCTCCCTTTTTGCTCTCCTTTTTTTTTCTCTCTCGCGTGGAAATGCTGGCACATTACACAGCCAGCAAAAGCATAAACTGTATCACAAGGTCACTGCCCTCCCTCTACTACAACAGTTTTTTTTTTAGTCAATGTGCGTGACCTTCAAAAACTGCACGATTTTTTCTGCTCCTACTCGGCAGGCCGCATGTCCTGGCGCTATTTTCGCCTCTCAAAAATGTACATTGAACCGAGTTGAACCTTGCCACCATAGCTAAAAAAAAAAATCCTTTTTACTGCCTGGTGTTATGCCTGCGAGTTCACAGCGAACGTCCATGCCTCTGAAAAAGGCAATCTTTGTCAAGGCCAGCCCGCGAGCCCTCCTGACGCGAACAACTCAACAGCGTCATCACGCGGCGGTGCCTTTCTGCCGCGCACGCACAATGAGTCACCTCAGCCAGCGAGCCCGTCGAAGCAATCGGCGACTTCCTGTCTGGCGAGTCTGACGCAATGCGTGGCGACATCACTCGTCCTTGGGTGCAGCCACGTGCAGCGCAGCGGCTCCAGATTCGATGAGAATGACGCGGCCCAGCGGCGACCCCATTGGAGGATTCTGACCTCACAACCAACGGTGCTTCTGGTTGGACATTTGGTTACTCAAAGAATCCACCCGGTGCATATAAAAGAAGCCCTGCGCCGCGTCGCGAGGAGTAGACCTATGTGTTAGAGAGGAGAGCTCGGCTCTTCAGGTCTCTAAGCTGTCGGCCCCAGTGCCGAATTTGTAACGCCTCTGTATATATGCTGTACATAAACCTTGTTTAACTCACCGTCATCTCGTCTGCTCGTTTATCAGCTCTGCGCAGAAGCAGTGGCGAGCTGAGAAACCTACGCTACCAAACGGCTGGTGACCTTCCCAGCGGAGTTCGAAGCAGTGGCGCCTTCGGGACCGTGTTGGCGTCGCAGTCTTTCGTAAACAGTGGTTGCAGCGGTGAGATTCGTGGCGCCCTTCGTAACGTCGTCGGAGGCGCGCTTCGTAACAGTGGCCAGACAACTTTGCTCAAGTGGCCAGACAAAGTGAATGGGTGGGGCAAAACTGGATTCCCGGGAGATTTTCTTATGACCCGTACAACTAGGAGGAACGTTCAAAATCCCGGAGTCTCCGGGGTAATTCGGTAGAGTTTGCAAGTATGACCTTGTTCCTTGCAAAAAAAAAAAGTCCATGTATCTGCGCATTTCATCTCTGTGTGACAGCCAGTTCCATTGACAATCAAAACAATGTTAAATCACATCATTATATCAAAATATCAATGCAATAAAAGTCACAACAGATTAACCACCATGCTAAACAGTTGTGAGCATGGACTACATCGATCGAAATTTAAAAATTGCGATTTTTTACTGCATAGTGTCATCTGTGGATCGCAAAAGATGTTCAGCTTATAGTGCCACGCAAGCACAGCGGTGCAAACACAAAGCAAAAATTGAAGTGCAATCGCACTAACTGCACCAACGGCACAACTTTGCACAGACAACATTCGTGAGCCACCATCTAGCGCCACATTTTTGTTGATGATCAGCCAGTACGCTAGCAACATGGCCAGTTTTAAAGTTAAGGTTGGATGAGCATGTGCTGGAGCATGAGAACTGAGCGACTGATCGACACTTTGAGCGTCCATTCATGCACGTTGGCCTGTACACGTGCTATCTGTACAGCCGTGCAGCAGGTGTCCCACTGCGCCGCATGTGCTGGGACACCTGCCGCATGCAAGCGGAGGGTGAAAGAGTAGCCGCTTGCATGCTGCAGCTGTCCTGGCGCATGCGGGGCAGATGTGCGGATAGGGCATGTACAGTTTCGGGTTACAAAAACGATACGTCGCCCATTTCATGGCCCAGAACAGGGACAGTTTCCTTTTTGTGGAGAGCGAGGCTCCGTAGTCCTGCCACTGAATTAAAGGCCAGCAGCAGTTGTTGGACAGCTAGTTCTTTAATACCGTCATGTGAAATTTTTACTGCTAGAACTCCCTTGACCTTTTTTCCTCCTGCACAATAAACCCTCTCCCCTTATTAGCATCAACTTTCCTGAAAAAAAGAAGGGGGGGCGGTGGGTTCATTACGCGAGTAAATACGGTATGTAGCTATGAACGCACATGAGTAACACAAGATTGAGGCAGTCCATTTACCCCAGTGGCATTAGTGTGAAGACCACAAAGGCCCATAACAGCATTCTTTGACCTCTCGAAATAATGTTTCCTCACCAGCTCATTCTCTTGTATAATATGATACGGCAGTTTTGATGACAGAAGTGGTGGCAATGGAGCGCACACATACTCCCTTTTGCACACAGCAGACAAGGATGTGTAGGAGGTATTGTATGTCTCTACGCGTTTGCCATCAAATGAGCAAAGCAACCCATTTCTGCATCTAGCACCGACAGCGTACCACACTACTTACAGCTTTGCGAGGAAGTGCAATTAGACTGCAAATATGCACAGACTTTGATCCAATTACAATTTTCTACAAACTAAGGAATTCATGAGAAAAAAAAACTACAAATTAGTGAGAGCAATCCCCTACAAACAGCTGCACAAAGTTCTCATGTGGTATAAAAAAAAACATACTTGGCATATAAAAAAATGAAGTACTCATGAATGTAAAGAGCTGTTAACAGAACAAAACGAACTTTTGGACTTCCCAAAGCAATACCAAAGGATGCTTGTTAGAAACAGAATTCATTACTGTCCCACCAGTTAAAACTGAATGCTGAGCTCACGTTCGCATTGCTGGCTCCATCAGCCTGTCCAGACCAGCCGTAAGACTTTAGCGGAGACTTCGCTGCTGTACCAAGGCTTCCTCTTTGTTGAGGTGGGTGGTACAGCTCGTAGCCTGGTCTCCTCCTGTCTGATCAAGAAAAAAAATAAGAGAAATATAAAAGAGAAATAAAAGACAGTCCGTGGCTTGGCATCACTGACAACAGTGCGAAGGTTGTCATTGACCTAAAATGATATTCTACTATGACACTCGAAGTACTTACGACCAGATGCACACAACACAAACAAGAAAAACAAACTAGAGCAATGACTCTCGTAGAGCAAAAACTCATACGAGAGCATTTGCCATCCATGGTCATTCACAATGCCCAGACGCATACACAAATAAAAATTATGGGCACAGCCATTCTGCATTCAAATCTCATCAAATAAACACACGAGGTTAGGGTTTTCGAACTACAGTGGAAAGCAACAGTCTCAAAGGGGTTGTGCAAATATTCGTGTCTTCCGAATTTCGCGTCAAGACAACTAGCAAAATCAGTTTCTGTCAAAAGAACTTCGTATTTCTTCCTGCAACACACGTGAATGGACGGGACGGCGCAGCCAGCTGCTGGGAAACATGGGCCGAAGCTTCACTTGAGGCCTATTGAAAACTGAATGCCAAAGTATAGCCAAAGTACGCAGATTAACAAGAACGTTACTAGATTCTTTAAACAGAAACGCTAAAACACTTGTAGCTTTTTTTTATGCCTTTATTGCTTTTAATCTACCACTGCGTAAGCCGCATGTCCTCAGCTAATAGTCGCTATTGAATATTGCAAGGACGTGACCGTGGTTTCGCGTGCGGCGGCTGCGGGAAACGACAGTTCTGTTTTCAATTTGCGTGTGCTGGCTGCGCACGTGCCTTGAACACAAAGTTGTTTTTGCAATATATGATCGGAGCATTTGTGAAAAGCAACGTCGCTGACTGGTTGAGCATTGGATGCACGTGTACTTCCGGGGTTCTGTCAGTTACGTTGTCGCTATGCATGATTACGTCAAGAGCGACCGTGGTTTCGTACATAGTGGTTGTGTTAAATGACCACAGTTCTGACAGTGCGTGCGGTGGCAGTGCGCGTCATTTCCAAAGATTTGGGCACGCTGCTTTCGATTTTCGTTCCGACAGCTTTGGTACTAAAGTTCATACAACCCGCCACGGCGACGGAAAGTGTTCGGAACATCCGAATTTCAACCCAATGGGCACAGTAGAATTTGGTTAGGAAATTTCACAGATTCATATCTGCATTTTTATCGTCACTAAGATGCTACTGCACGCTTAATTGAACATTTCAAACTTGTTTACAATAAAATGTGACGGGTTTTTAAAAAGCCTGAATTGGATAGGGCTGTATTTTTGTCCACGCATGGAAATTTCGATTCCTGGGCGATTTTGCTGACAACGGTACATGCATGAGAACTGGACGAAATCCAGCAGTCTCCTGGAAAGCCCAGAAGACTTGGCAAGTAAGTTGCACACTTCTATTCTTATAAATTAACTAGCTTAGTTACCAGTCAAGTAAGTTGCACACTTCTATTCTTATAAATTAACTAGCTTAGTTACCAGTCATTTTCCCGTGAAGGTGCACACAAGCACAGATCAGCAACAAATAACTTAATTATGCCTCCTGAAAAAAGATGAGCATAACACAGCACACTGTAAAATTGTAGACACCAAGGTGGCATTTTAGGCAATTGTAAACTAAACATGCTAGACATCATCTTGGCAAGAAAACACACTAAAGGGGCGGGGCCTTGCAACAGTTCTCCAAGTAAAAGACAAATGCCTTTATGAAAAGAGCTTATTGCCTCACAAATCGGCCACCACAATTTTCAGAATCCATTAAGTACACGAGTTGAGGTTTGTCACACGCTGTAACTGCTTGCCCTCTTCTCCCGTCCTGACAAGGGATGGCGCTGGGGAAAGTATTTGCATCACGCGCTTGTCATTACCTGTTTTTTTTCCCCATGGAACGCAAGGCTTACTTTCAGCTCACGATGCTTAAATTAGTCAATAGGATGATATTTTTTGGGTATGCATGTATGTGTGTGTGTGTATATATATGCACATATATATATATATATATATATATATATATACATATACACATATATATATATACACACACGTTTACACACACACACACATACACACGTTTAAATTCACATATATACCCAAAGAAAGTGGCTGGGAGGATATCCGCTGTGGTAGCTCAGTGGTAGAGCGTCGAACGCGTTATTCGAAGGTCGCAGGTTCGGTTCCTGCCCACGGCAAGTCATCTTTTTACCCACTTTTCTTTCTTCACATTTACATCACAATTCGGTCTAATAACTTCCCCTATACATTCCTTGGCATTATTGTCTGTTAGGTCTCATTAATATTGTGTCAAAACACGGAAAAACGAGCCCTTAAGTATACATTTCTTTCCCTTATTCCATACGAGGGACTATTGTTCAGCTGCCCGCTCGTAATAATTTCACGTGCTACGTGACGCCACACAGGCTCATAAAAGGGTGTTCCACACTCGCCGCTATGGCTACAGATGGCGCTGACTGACACTCCCACATTTAAATTCACATATAGACCGAATAAAATGGCTGGGGGGATAGCCGCCATGATAGCTCAGTGGCTAGAGAATCGAACGCGTTATTCGAAGGTCTCATAGGTTCGATTCCTGCTCACGGCACGTTATTTTTTCACCCACTTTTCTTTTTTTTTATTACGTTACATTGGTTCCAATAGCTTCCCCCATATATTCCTTGGCTTTATTGTCTGTTAGATCTCTGTATGTATGTATGTGTGTGTGTGTGTGTGTGTGTGTGTGTGTGTGTGTGTGTGTGTGTGGTGTGTGTGTGTGTGTGTGTGTGTGTGTATATATATATATATATACACACACACACAGTTGAAGCCCGCAATAACGAAATTCCGTGAGTACGAAATCCCCGCGGCAACAAAATATTTCCGGATCCCTGGCGAACGCTCATAGAAGCCCATGTATTACGTATCTCGCGGCAATGAAATGTTTTTGGACAGCGATCCCACATTGACGAGTTTTCTATAACGGTGTGAGCCTTATTTTACCCTCCCGCCAAAGATTAACTGTCGAAAATACGCTCGTATGCGTGTTATGCGTACTCAAAATTTGTAAACAAAATTTGCTTTTGCGGCACTAGTGTGAGTACCACCATTTTTGTTTACTTAAGGGAGGACGTTGCTTTGGGATCGCGAAAAATGGAGAAAAAATCAATTTTTTTGATAATCAAGTTTTCAGTTTCTGGATCCCTTTTTCTATCTGATTTCAAAATATGTACACTGAAAACCACGCAGAGGTGCTTCGGAAAATTACATTTCACCCACCTAGGTAGCGAAACTTTTTCTGGAAATCGCGAAAAATGGCTTCGCGATGGCGGGGCCGGGAGCCGGCTTCTTGGGCTCATCGGAGAGCATTTCTCAGTGTTTAACTTTGCCGCCTCAGCTGTCTCCTCCCTTTAAAAAAAAAAAGCGCACAAAAAGCTAATGTTTGAAGGTCGTTTCGAGGCCCTTGATTGGCTGTGTCCACCATGTTGCCTCAGCTCGCTTCGCCATTGGCCCGATGCTCGCTCCGGCAGATCGTCCTCTGCTGCTTGTGCGTCGCGAGGACATGGCTCTCGAAAATTGCTACTTCGTGACATGTTCACGGCTCGATGATCACTTAAGATATAATTACGCTTTAGTTAGGAGCAGTAGGCGGATGCGAGATCAGGTTACTACGAGCGCGGCGCGTTATCGGAGTCGTTTTTAGCCCTCACTCCATTGACAGCGAGACTGCGGGCAGGAATGACGCGCTAGCGCACTCGTGGCGACGTGCTTCGTCGCAAGCAACGAAGCTGTAAGCGGCGGCACGGTCAGATTACTACGAGTGGCCGCACCGGATGCACAATCAGATTACTACGAGCGGGCGCGTGGTCTACGAGCGCGGCGCTTCATCGGAGTCAGCCTTAGCCCTAACTTCACTGACAGCGAGACTGCGAACAGGAACGACGCGCTAGCGCATTCGAAATAACCCGCGAGTTGTTTTGGATGCGCAGGACACCCTTCGCTCCTTTGGCGCACATGACGACGACGTAGCAATGGACCGCTTTTTCCAGTGTGAAGTGCTGGCCGTATCACTTTTTATGTCTCATAATCGCGGAAACGAAATTTTTCGGTTTTCTCGCCGGCGATTTTGTTATTGCGGGTTTCGACTGTAATATATATATATATATATATATATATGTGGCACGTGTTCTCGAAAGCCTGGACTACCTATCGGCAATGCTTTGTGACCATGATGAAAAACTACTGCCATTCCTTTTAAAACAGACAAGACACAGCTGCGCACATATCATACATGGTGTGTGATGTTTGCAAGCAGGGGCTAATCCCCAATGACATTGAGCAGATTCCCTAAAAAAAGAACTGCCACTGGCCAACAATGAAGCCAGGATGTTTAGAGTAAGACACTCCTTACAACAGCTGTACTAACTGATGCACTGAACTAAAAAGGATTTGTATTTGCAAGTTAATGAGAATAACAGCACTCTACAATGAACCAACTCGCCAAAAAAAAAGTTTTGATGAAGAAAAATAATCTTGCACACAGCCATGAGGAGCGAATGGAGTATGCATATATGTACACAACTCCATAACAAAGGACAGTCAAGAAAATGTGAGATGGTGGCCTTTAGGTTGAAAAAAAAACACTTATTTCTGGTACCTGTGTATATGTGTGCGTGCACGTGTGTGCGCATGCATACGTGTGTGTATGAAAGGGGGGGGGGGGGGCATGGCCCAGAGCCTGTACTCCGAAATTGGCAAACAGACACGCACTAGTAGTGCGGGTGATGCTATGAATGCGACAACGCATAAAAGCTAAACATCACACTTTCACATACCATATATAACAACAACAGATAGGAACAGGCTGTGCAGTACTTACAGATTTGATACCAAGTATACCTATCTTTTTTGCCGTATACTTGTAAGCAGGAAAAAGAGAAAAAAAGGAGGCCTTTATATCTCACCCCGATTATATGCATTCAACATACTAGAATGAGCACTGAAATCCAGGTACT